AATATATATATATATATATATATATATATAGACCATTTTTAGTATGAATTTCTTGATAACAAATATAGAACAAATGCTGATTGAAAACAAAATTATGAAGTTTATGTCTCTTTTTGGTTATTTCCTTTTAAGTTGGTGGTTAAGTACTAAATTTGATTTTTAAAATAATATATAGAAAATGCATTTACAATTCTAATTATATTACAAAATTTAAAGGTATTATAACATATATTATTAATAGATTATAATATATATTAAGAACTTCTTGATAACAAATGCACAGCAAATGTTGATTGAAAAAAAAAATTGTGAAGTTTATGTCTCTTTTTGGTTATCTCCTTTTACATTGGTGGTTAGTTACTAAATTTGATTTTAAAAATAATATATAGAAAATGCATATACAATTCTAATTATATTACAAAAAACCATAACATATATTATTAATAAAATAAAATATTCCATTGTCAGGTCTCTCAGGTGAGAGCCGACTATCCTAACCAACTAGACTACAACAGATTGATGCATATTGTTCACTTCTTGTTTCTGATTTTGATTAGATTATGAAATCATCGAGTTGATCAAATTAATCTCATCGATCTCAATCGGTTCCAAGAAAGAGGGCACATCAAGAAGAACATATGACACCAAACATTGCTAATACACCATACAAATGAAATATATGTTGTCTCTATGCACTGAGAATTAGTGCCAGCCAGTGTTGTTTAACAACTGCTTTAAGATTGTGTTACACGACCTGATGCAAAATTTGTGTTTCCTCATTTCAGCAAAGCATGTGCAGCACACTCAGAAATAGTCGAAGCTACATTTAATGATGTGTCATTCTAATTCAGAGATGATTACCTTGATGCACAATTACACATGAAGCATATAAGTAGTCAAATCCAAACTGATCAAGATGAGCAAGAATTCTTATTGCATCTGGAAAATGTATCGATGAATACTATCGAGAATCTTAAAACATTTAAGAGCATTTCGGTGTTCACAGTATGCACGATTATATCTGGTATAAGCCTCATGGAAGAGTGACAAAATGGAAAGGAAAAAAAGAATTAACTTATCAACTTCTAACTACCTTTACATGTAAGCTGGGAGCATATCCAGGCTTTTAACAAGAATTTGCATATTAGGATTTATTTTTCTTTGTTCCTCTTCGAAGAATCATTATCATCCAGATTATGATAGAAAAACACTCGTTCCAAGGTGCACCAATATAAGAAAGTTACGAAAAGCTGTTGTTGCTGTTCTTGAGCCGATGCATACGAGGATAACATGATCAGAATTTGTGCCTCTGAAGAGCCTTATGTGTCGTGGAGATGAGATAATGTCGCTGCCTTCCAACCATAAACGAGCTACTCAGCAGTGAGAAGATTTAGACCTGTTCAAAATAACTCCACAAGTTTATACAGTAGAATCTGACCAGCATTAGGAGTTATTGATATATGACATACCTGTCATCAACTTTCCGGCGCCCAGCTCTAAGCTTACTGTGTTGGATGCGTGATAATAGAGATGGTTTCTTAGGCTTCACACCAAAAAGGAAATTTCGTAATGGTACCGTGTTCCTACTCAGAGCAAGTTCCAAGTCATCATTACTGCTGCTTTTTAACATAAATGGTTGAAAGTTCTCATATAGATCAGACAACTGTTCCTCAATTTCTGCTTGAAGCTCCCTCAGTTGTTCTATTCCCACCTGTAATTCACTTGCAACCTTACCATTCTCCTGTTTCATGTTCATCACCTCACCTTGAAAACTTCCCGCCTGAAAAGGAGTGAACAGGGCTTCTCCAGATTCTGGTTTCATGTTGACAACACTGGATATCTCTTCTTGCAAGTCACAAAGAGATGACAACCTACCTTGAAGCTCCCCACTTAGTAATGCACCTTGTTCCAACCATACATGGAGTTCAGTCTTCAATTCTCTAAGTCTTGTGGTAATTCGTGCTGATTCAGGTTTGCTAGCTTGATCATCACTAACATTATCAGTGCATTCTTTAATTTTGTTGCCCTTCAGCTTACTAATATCCGCTTGTAGGTCTTCGTATTTGGCTTTGAACTCGCGTATCAGATGGAATGATGTGCTGAACTTTAGCCAAAATTCTAAACTTTCATCAAGCAGTGAATTGATATCCCTCCTGAACTTTTCTTCGACAGGAGAAATGCTCTTTGGCTCATTGATGCACTGTGCATCAACGTCATTTGAAAGGGGATTTCGTGTTTCTCTAAACACAACAGACGAAGCTCTTGCAGCAGCCGATTCAATATTTAGATCTTCGGAGACCTCAAAAGCTTGATGCTTCGAGTGCTCTGTGACCATCGCAGAGCTACGTGTGATTTCAGGTCTCCGTTGACCGTGCCAAGATTCTTCAACAGGAGTGTTCACAGAACCATTCCGACTTATCTTTGCAGAGGCTGATGTCTGTCTCAGCAATCGTATTTCCTCATCTTTCATAGCAATGTCGTTCTTCAGTTTCCCTATCAGAGCCATTGTTTCTTGAAGATAGTCTTCATTCTTCTTCTCTACCTCAGAGAGCCTTCTCTTTGTCTCTTTGTAATTTTGCAGGATTGATGTGCACTCAGATAATAAAATATTCTCTTTGCCTTCTAAACCACTTAAAATTAGTTGCTGCAAGTTAAGAGTATCCTCTTCTCCATCAAGCATGATCTCTTTGGTGCTAGTTAGACAGTTGGGAAGATCTACTTTTGACAATTCTTTTTCCTCCAATGCATTTCCCTTCTTTGAGTCCTCTGAAGCACTTTCGAGTCGAGAACCAGCCTCAACCTGGGAAGGATGTTCTAGGCAAGAACCAAGTTCCTGAGATGTATGAATCTCCTCTACCAAATCGCCCTTCATGTCATGGATTTTGGCGGAAACCTCTTCCTCTGGGGATGCATCTCCAACACAAGCATTTTCCAGAGGTTTAGGAGGCTGCAGTTTCTCTAAAACACCATTGAGGCTATGCTGGGCTTCCACATAATTTTCACAGAAATTTGCTTCTTCATCATGGACAATTTTCTTAATTGCCTGAACTCTGCCTATTTCATCTTCAGCTTCTTTGAATCTTTTAGACAACTCATTTGGGTCATCGATTAATATACTTTTGTCCTCTTTAAACGACTGTATGCATTTTTCAAGTTCATCGTTTTCTGAAGTCAATCGATTTATTTGCACAGCATGTGATGAAACTGTGAGTTCCAATGTGATAACTTTGTTTGCAAGCTCTTCTATCTTTTCTGCAATCTCAATCACAGAACTTTCAGGGTTCATTTTGAAATGTTCCTTTATTTTCTCACATACGGACTGTAACTCGGTCCTCATCTTATTTAGAGAATAGTCTTCCTCCATGTTTTCAGCAGCGAAGGTCATTTCTGTGTTTTCATCAGACATCTCTGTACTTTCCACCTCAGATTGGCAATACTCACCTCTGAGAGCCTTCACCTTTGCTTTAGCAATCTTAGTTCTTTCGGACTCTACTTTTGCTTGTTCCAATGATTTCTTCCGCTGTTCCTGCATGTTAACTATGGTATCATCACAAGATTTAAGAACTGTTGATGTCATTATGGCACGTGCCTCCTCATCTTCAATGACCGCACTTGTACTAAACTCATCTTGCAAGCAACAAACTTCTTCTTGCATCTCCATGATTTGCTTCTCAATCTCCCAATACTTAGCTATCCCAGACTCGTACGAGCTCTTGATAAATTCTTTTTCGGTCTGCAGAACCAGAATTCCTTTCTGAAGCTTACTTATATCTTCTTGTGCCTTTTCTTTATCAATCGGAGACGGACTACTCTTTTTACGTGCTTTTCTTGTCGATGACTCACTTTCCTTTTTCTTGTTCATTAATCCCTCTACTGTTCGCCTGTTAATTTTACTCGGATCAATTGGAGTTATTGCTTTTGGAATGGTATCCTCCTCCTCATCTAGCATTGCATACTGGACACGTTCAGGAAAAGCAGTCGCTATGGTGTGGTTGGCCTTGTGTAATTCTCCCGAAATGTGGTCATATCTATCAGCCAATGATCGATAAGCCTTGTAAGCATCTTCCACAAAGCTTATCAACTCTGGTCTCCTTTTAAAATACAACTCTGCCCTCTTAGCAAAGGAATCAGCATTGGTCTCGATAAGCTTCAGCATTTTTTTCACTATGTCTTCCATCTCTGAAATCAAAGTAAATCCTATTTGTAAGAAAGCTAGAAAGTAAAGCACAATGGCTGGTAACACACAATATATATATTTCTTTTCCATCAAGTAGAGGGCATTATAAAAACAGTAAATTTTAGTTTCATTTGACTTAGTACGTGTCAAAATAATGAATTCTACATAACATATTATCGGTGGACATAAGTTACCATGTCCGTCTTGATCCTTCATTACCAGAAAATAATCCTCGATACATACACTGGTTAACATAGGTCAAAAGGCCAAGTTCCTCAGGCCTTTGACATTCTAAATGTCGTCAGGTAAGAACACAGAATGTTGTAACTCTTTTCAATTATACATCTGGAAACACACGAAGAGCCTCAACAACGGCAGAAACTTGGTAGAGGCACACAATTTGCTTAATTTATGCATGCAAAAAAAAAAAAGTTTGACAGAAAAACAGAGCAACTTAAAGGCTACCATGTATCGTCCGACTATTTAAAGCAAACTAATTTTCTAGATTAGTACAATATCAAAGCGCTATAATTCAATCTCATAAATAGAAACAAGGGTTGGAGATTCAGTAGGTAATTGGTGTGGAACTGCTCGTGCAATAAATGATTCCATCCTGTTTGTTATCTGTTACAATAAATGATTGTTCGGTATCGTTGAATTAGAACTTTTCATTAATATATTTTGTTCCTCAAAAGAGAACACACATCGACATTTTCTTTCAATCTGAAGGTATTCAGAAGGATGAAAAAGTGTAGATATATTGTACATTTTCCGATTGTTCATTCGTCAATCTACAGTTTGCACAAAGAACACTACTTAGGAAACTATTGCCTTGATCAAGTAGTCACTAAAATTCTTTCTATCATCTGTGTGTTTTTCTGCATTCATCTCTCAAGCAAATGTTATTTGGAACCTTGCCAAGAAAAAGACTGAAGATTCTGTTCTTGCAATTGCGAGTACATATAGATGCATTTGCATTTGGATTGTGCAGATCAAATTAAAAGCAGGCCTAAGCCTATTCGATTCAGCTGAAAAAGAAAGCACTTGTGTTGCAAAAGAGCAAAAGGAGACGGGATACAGAGGGGAAGGATCAAAGACCGACCTTGGAGGTTGCCGTCGAGCCATTTCGACTGCTTCGTCCTGATGTGGCTCGCCCACCACCACGAGTACGCATTGCTCGCGGCCCTCTGCAGCATCTCGCTCCCCGGTTCCTGCCTCTCCGCCTCTCGATCCCTCTCCTCCTCCGAGAGAAATATGAACCTGACGAGAAGAGAGAGGGAGAGGAGAGGGGGCGCGCAAAGAACCGTGCTTTCCCAGCTACAAGGCTAAAAAAAGGTGAGGGGCTGGATGCAGAATAGGGGGGGTGCAACTCCGAAACAAAAGGAGGGTATCGGTGTGAAGAGGAGAAGCCATCGCGGCCTTCCATCCTTGCATTGCCCTCGCTGCCTCCCCTGGTTAAAGAAAGAAAAGGGAGAAGAGAGAGAGAGAGAGAGAGAGAGAGAAGTCGGCATGACAACAACGGGTGGGCGTGCACTGCACATCTGGTCTTCTTATCTCCACGGAAAAGGGCTTCTTTCTCCTTCTTCTTCTTCTTCTTCTTCTTCTTCCACGACGATCCATCGCCTTGGCCGCCCGTGATTGCCGCCCTCTACGGCGGCGACGGTACCGTCGCCAACATCCGAGCTGGCTGGTGATGGATGCGTGCGTGGCCCAAATCAAACCCATCAACAAAGCACGAATCACTGAATTACGTGGCACCCGGATACCTGCCACGTCATTGATCCAAGTGCACCAGCTTAAGCACAATCTAACCGTTGATCTATGTCAATCTACGGTGATTAGCGTCTCTACATCCTCCGAGGGGGCTCTCATCAGACCATAAATGACCGTCTAATCTTACCCCGCTTCCTAAGTCCAACTTGTTCGCCACTTCTTAAAGCTCTCCGTCCTCAGGTGAGAAGTGGGTCGATCCATTTCCTACTCCGCTTAATCCTCCGTGTTCTCGGATCTCGAGATTCGACCTTCCGGATGCTCGATTCCTTCACTGCGGCGATTGAATTCTAGGTTTCTGGTAGCCGGGCGACAATGTCGGGGCGAGGGAAGGGAGGGAAGGGGTTGGGAAAGGGCGGGGCGAAGCGTCACCGCAAGGTGCTGCGCGATAACATCCAGGGCATCACCAAGCCAGCCATCCGGCGATTGGCGAGGCGCGGCGGCGTCAAGCGCATCAGCGGCCTCATCTACGAGGAGACCCGCGGCGTCCTCAAGATCTTCCTCGAGAACGTCATCCGTGACGCCGTCACCTACACCGAGCACGCCCGCCGCAAGACTGTCACTGCCATGGACGTCGTGTATGCGCTCAAGAGGCAGGGCCGCACTCTCTATGGCTTCGGTGGTTAGGGCTGTTTCTTTCTTAGACGCACTGTTGCTGTGACGGAGAAAAAAGAAGGGGTTTTTTAAAGACTAATAGATGGAAAGAGACATGAACTGGCAATCTGTAGTTTGCTGTCGTTGTGAGGTTTGATCTGTTGGTCTTGTAGTGTCCTTTTGGATCAATGTGGAATTTTTATCTAGAGTAATCCCTATATCGTTTAGTGTGATACATTCGCGTACTTGGAGTAGCAATTCCGGAAGCTCTCTTTGTGGAATTCTTATCCTAGTATGTCGAGGTAAAGAAGTTCTGACTACTGTGTGAAATTGCATGCTTGTGTTCTAATTAGTTTCATGAATCTGTGCCCTCTAATGCTAATGAGCTTTTAATTTCTGATACCTGAACTTAGTGCAGAATGGTGAGAGTGTATGGTGCTGCAGATATCCAAAGGATGGCTGTCACTAGGATGAGCATTTATCAAATGTATCTAGTGGTTTAACACAGATAAAGTTCCTATTGTCTCAATGTAACTATTGATTTCCTACATGATAATTGCGTGTCCATTTTTGGTTCTGGCTAGCTATATCACATCCATAACTAGTATATTCTAGATATTGTACACATGTCCTCCTTGCCTGTTGAATGTTTGAATTCTTATCTACCTACTTGAGTTGCAGCATTTTATTTGTTTTGTTATACTCATACTTGACATTTAGATTAACACAAGAAATTCCGAGCATGAGGGAGTATGGTAGGGAGATGAAGGCTGGAAGCAACATGAACTTTTTTGTGCAGAGAATGGAAAAGAGTTAAAAGGATTAAGGAGCTAAAGGACCAGATTCTATCAAAGAGGATGAAGGAACAATTCCTAACTGGCTGGTGGGAGTGACTGGATATAAGCATCAAGAAGAGTGGTGAAACCAGAACCACCTGAAGAATGTGGTAGTGGATTCGTGAGGTATGATACTGAACATCAATGAAAATAGAAGCTCAGGATAAGTCACTTTTGTGCTCTAAATGCCTGTTTAATTTAGGTCATGGCATTATTGTGAAGCTGAAGAGATTCCGAACAGCACTTATCTTAGAGATAAAACCTCATATGCTCATAAGGTCCCTTGTTTTGAGCACAGAAGAGTTTGAGGTAAACCATCGGCAAATATGATCTTGTGATGGTGGTGGATGATCAGCTAGTCCAATCAGCTGACATTTTTTATTTGGATGCCTTCTTGACCTAATACCATTCCTTCGGATCATATAACTATCATGTTGTTGTTATTAATGCTTGTAGATTTTGTACTATGTGGTTCTTCTGTGTTCAGGACATTTTTTTCTAATGAACAGCATCTGCAAGCATCGCAAGAGGTGGTGCTGTCAACTTATCTAAAATTTCAACTTTCCATGGTTTTATGATTTGCTACTCTCTCATGTGCTTTGGATGGTTGGGTGCCTGACTTCTGTACATGCCATTGCCATACTGGTTAGTCCTGCGAAAGTTCATAACATTACCCTTATCACTTATCCAACTTCTCATGCTCACAGGCAATACGGGCACACGATTATAAAAAGAAGCATATGTTCTCGATTGGTGAATGATGAAGCTCCAGGAGATCTCTGTATTGTTCGAATTGGATATGTTGATTATGAATTTGACACTAGTGGTTTCTTGGTAAAATGACTACTGGGACTCTTTGAGAGTTATCTTCAATCAGAATCTTTGCTACTAATATCAACAATGTGGTTCACATATGGCTACATCATCATGGAAAGCTCAACCAAACTGCTTTCATATGACTCTTGCATTCTAGGTCTGTTATTATTCTTTTTTTTCTTTCAGTAACTATTATGGCAGGTCAAAACTGTTAATAGCTCATATTTGAAGAATTCTTTCGTTTTTGGTACAGTGTTAACTTGTGATATGGCGGTCGATATGGTCAATATGGTACAGTATTTGAAGAATTCTTTCTTCCTGGCGCTAAATATGGGTTTTATTGCATGATTGCATGTGATATGTATGCCAGTTAATTGGATGGCTGTTGCTGTCCTTTGATGACTCAAAGAACCTGCGCGTGAACAGATCAGTGGGAGCCATGTAGTCTAATGCTTTTGGTATCAGTAGCATCTCTTCTATGTTACTTTGTTCTTCACTGCAAGCAGGTTAATGATAGCATGTGGCCACTGGTGATGTTGAAGTTTCATCTGTTATATCCTAATCTTAGAGCTTTTCTTTCTCATTCTGATTATTGTGGCCTGATATATCCGATTCTTAGACCGAGTGATCTGACCCTTTCTATTCATTTATCACTAGCAGTAAAGATGTAGGTGTCAAATAAACAGTTCTCTTCATATTAGTGGTATAGTGCAGTTGGAAGAGATCTGTCAATTTATATATTGATCATACTAAACCAGAGACACAACACTAGGGGAACCTACAGGAAACAGACTTGAGTTTGATACTAGAATTCATACTTGGAAATGAACTTGCTTCTTTGTATGGAACAATTAGTCTTTATATAGTCTAATTCAAATGTTCCCAGCTCAAACACAATTTTGATTGCAGTTGTTTCTCTAGCAGGATCATTTTCAGCTGCAACAGCCTCTCTTGCCAGAATGCAGGTGAGGAAGAAACTGGTAGTATACTGGTGTCAGCTTTTTTTCTAGTTGGTAAATCTTGTGCCTTCACCCCTCCAAGTTATTATCTTTCGCCATGAAGTTTAACATCAACAGGACAAAGCAATTTGAGATCTCTTGACATAATACTACATCTTTCAGTAGTGAATGCAGGCGCTCCACTTTTATATTGCTTCACATGATGCATGGTGTCTGATGTCTCCTAAACTTGCAGTGTGGACTACGGTTGTATGCAGCCTGGTAATCATCAAGGAAAGGACCACCAGAGCATATGTTTATATATCCATAGCTGCTCTTGTCTCAAATGCTGATATGGTTTCTGATGCATCAAGATCTATCGCCCAGGTACTCAACTTTCTTCCCATCCTCTTGTTGCTTGTGCCAGTAACTCCATGAACAATGATGAAGTCCTATTACTTGGTTGAAATGGCTTCTCATAATACTGGCTGCGAGTAATCCTCTCGGCCAGTATAATAATACTTGCCGACGTTGATATCTACCCACCCACGCCACGCAGTCTTTCAACATCATCATCAAACCGGTGGATGATGAAGGATGCCAAGCCAGCATTTAAAGCCTTCAAATCATTTGAGGGTGGCAAGGCATGCAACTTTGGGAAAAGAGGTAAGGTTTCATCTCCGATGTCAAACGAGAAGAGCCAACACGTCATCCCTTTTGATAGCTCATCATAGCACATCATTCCTTCACACACCATCGCATTTAACAAACAACAGTGCGAGTCCAAACTTGTGCACGCAATTTTGGACCCGTAACGTTATATGCATGCGATTGAGGTTTTCAGAGACCCAACACTGCGGAGTCCGAGGAAGAGAGGAGCCATGAGCTCGGGGTGCAAGTCTTCCCTGAGCTGCGTGGACGCGCGCGAGCCGGTGAGGGCCAACTACAAGATCCTTTACAAGTGGCCGGAGTCCGACGTCGAGTTCGTGAAGTCGATGGCGTCGGGAAGACGAGGCGAGACAGGTGGCCTTGACGAGAGGCGGAAGCGGAGCGCAGGTCCCAGCGTGGTGGATAGCTACTCCTGCCGGCAGCTGTACTTGAGGAGCTACACCTTCACCAAGGAGGAGTCGGTCCCGGAGAAGACGAAGCGGTGCTTGAGAAAGGTCAAGGAGACGGCCGCCGCCGTGCCCCTCTTCAGCACCAGGAACACCGAGAAAGGTGGCAGCGTCGACATGGGTAGCAAGCGGAGGAGGAAGGAGGAAAAGGAGAATTGCGCGAATACGAGGAAGCTAAGGGAGATGACGCACTCCGCGCTGCACGCCGTCTTCCATCGCCTCCTGTTCTGCACCGCCAGCGTCGACGTGGTGGATTGAGGGCGACCTGTGCAGGAAGTAGTCGGCTTCTGTGTGTGTGTGTGTGTGTCCAAGTTCGGTGGTGTCAAGGCCTGAAGAGCAGAATCCAACAGTCATCTTCTTCCTTAAACCTTGTTGCAAGCATAGAGGCCATGGTTACATCAATGTAATTCCAACAACATTAATGCATATCTCAAAGTTGTAGAAACTGTGTCTCTTCCATTTCATGTGGAGTTGTGGTTAGTACCGTGGAACATCATTCTATTCTTGTTCAGCTCATGGTTGAGCATTGAATACAAGGAAGAAGAGGAAGGAGACTTCCGGGTCCGCAAATTAATTGTGTGGCTGCTCATAAACTTTATAACCCCTGGTGATGACTTCTGGCTGCTACCATAGTATCACTACAACAGTGGAAGATTTGGACATTATAATACATTATAATATAATATATATCCCTTTAATTATCTGAGTCCTCCATTGACGCTATTGCTATCAATATCCATCTAAAATCTTCTAACCATGGTTAACATTAGTTTATTTATATAAATACTGCTCCTATGTGTTTAGCACCATAGCAAACTTTTTTAAAGAATACTAATATAAATTAAAAATTTTAACAAAAAGTAGCTAAAATAATGTGTATGCAAGTTTTATGGTTTTTTATGAGGGATGTGTATGCTGAAATTTAGATAAGTATACAAAAAAAAAAAAAGTATGATATTTATGAACAATTCTTTTTCCTACGATGACTTCCATGTCAATCAATATATGGAAGCCGTAACCTTCATTCAATGTTCACAAAACCCACAAAACACAATTGAGAGTCCAATGACTATTAACAAAGATACAATGGGAGATCAGAGTTCGAATAATGAAAATAATTTGGAAAATAGATTCTCATTTGGAAAATAATTATATAAGTCTGCAACATTGAATGTGTTTGAGATCCCTCAAATCATATGGTAAATCAATCATATATGCATTATTATTGATTTTTTTAAAATCTTGTAGCGATCATACTTCTTCGGCTTCAATTTATTATAAGTGCCTATCAGATATCTCTTTTTTTACAAATATACCATAACCATATTTTCTTTCTTGAATACTTTTTTACTCTTATGCTTATCAACTGTTTTCTTGTACCTAGTATTGGTAGCTTCCTGACTTCTTCACTTTAGCTTGGATTGATTGTACTTGTTCAACCCTATTGTTAACTGCTATACTCATGAATCTTTGGTAGGTAAAATAAATCCAGAGCATACTTTGATACTTTTTTATAAATAATAAAGAATTGTGACGCTCCAATAAAACTATGAATTGCACTATTATAGGCAAATTTAGCTTGTGAGTGTGAAATCTCATTGTTTTAGTTTGTCATCACAAATACAACGAATCAAATATCCCAAAGTTCTATCAGTAACTTTTGTTTGAACATTAGTTTGTGGATGAGCTATGTTGCCAAACTTTAAACTTGTATCAAATATTTTCCACAAGGTCAACTAAAAACTAAGATAAAAAATTTAGAATCTCTATCAAAAGTGATTGATTTTAGTACTTCATGTAGGCACATGACTTCTTGAAAGAATAACTTGACAATATGTACCACATCTAAAGTCTTCCTACATGATATGAAATGAGTCATCTTGAAGAACTGATCCACAACCACAAACATAGAATCAACTTCCCTTTGAGTTTTTGGCATTCTTTATACAAAATCTATGGATAAATCCTCCCAAATATCTTCTAAAATTGATAATGACATATATAAACTAATGCTTTATGACTAGCTCTTTATAGTTTAACAAGTCAAATATTTTCTTATAAAATTACCAACATATCTCTTATTATGGCTAAAAGTACCTCTCCTCCATGCTTGCTATTATTGTATCCCCCTCGAAACATCTACTGAGTTCTCCTATATGAAAATATCAAATAATTAATTTTCGTAAGGACATTCTCATAATCTATAACTTATTATCTTTGAATAAAATAACCATTATGGATATAGAAATCACCCGCAAGTTACCTTGTCAAATGCTTCTCCCAAACATCTTTAAAGTCGTTATCTTTAGCATTTAGTATATAGATCCTTCAAATCCTATAACTTTTACTTAAAGAAACTAGTAAAGTTGCTTTTCTATTCAAAGTATCAGCAATACGATTAGAAGTACCGGACTTGTGTTTGAATACATAGGCAAATTGCTCTATGAAACCATCTTACATCCATCTTATTTAAATGCTTTTGGTTCTTGAAATGCTTATGGATTCACGATTTTAATATATTATAAACTCACGTTGGATCAAGCAACATTCTCAATTTTATAAAGCTTATACCACAACATACAACTCTTGTTCATAAGTAGATTACTTTTGGCATACTTCACTTAAGCTTCTCATTGAAAAATTACAATTGATCTTCCTTCCTGTGAAAGTACTGCTTCAAAAGACTTTTCAAAGGTTAGTAATACAAACCATTTGTACAGTAACTAACTTTTTCTTAATCTCAACAATGCATTTCTCAATAGCCTTAGTTTATAGAAACTTTTTTTTAAAATAATTAATAATATGAGCGATAATATTGTTGAAGTTTCTAATTAATCTCCTATAGATTATAACAAGACCATAAAAGCTCCTCACTTTTGTGACAGTCTTTGGGGTAGGCTATTCTCGAATAGCATAAATATTTTTTTCGTCTATATAAATCCCATCAATACTCACAATAAACTCTAGGAAGATTAGTCAATTTATCATGAAGTTGCACTTTTTCAAATTGATATATAACTTATTATATTACAAAATAGTTAGGTCTTATCATAAATAGTCAATATGTTCTTCTCTACTATAATTGTAGATTAGAATATCATCAAGGTAGATTATTATAAATTTTTTAATAAATGGTTTATATACCTTATTCATAAGCCTCATGAATGTACTTAGTGTATTGGATAACTCAAATAGTATAATTAATCATTCATATAAGTATTTTCTTATCTTTAATGTAGTTTTCTATTCGTCTCGAGATCTTATGCTAATTTGATAATATTCGCTATGGAGATCAATCTTTGAGGATATCTTGGAGTCTTGTAGTTGACTTAATATATCTTTTAGTCAAGATATGGGAAAGCGATAATTGATCATAATTTTATGGATGGCTCTATTATCTACACGTATCCTTCATCTTTCATCTTTCTTAAGTATTAACAAAGTTAAGACTGCACATGAGTTTATGTTTTTTCAAAGATCTATTCTGTATCATCTCCTCTACCTTCTCTTATAGTATCTTATTCTCTTTTGGGTTCATTCAGTAGTGAGGTAAATTTAATAGACTTGCTTTTGGAGCCAAATCAGTTTGGTGTTGAATATCTCTGATTGGTGGAAGTCCATCTGATAATTCTTTATGAGTGATCTCTTAAATTTTTTTTAATATCAATCTTCAATTCATTTGGAATCTTTGCTTAATGTGGCTTTTTTCCTTTCATAATAAGAGTATATCATACTCTTGTTTTTTTATAACTAGCAAAGAATTCTTGCTCAGAGTTGAAAATAGATAAGAAAGACTTCCCCTCCACTTTACAAGTGTTAGATTCATCTCTCTTTTTGTTAGTTAGTAGAATGATTATCTTCTTTCTTTCCACTAGAATACATAGATATTCTTTCTTCCAAGATGGGTTGCATTCACATCATACTATCATGGCCTTCCAAGTAGCACATGATGCGAATACATGTCAACTACCTCACATATAACTTTTCCCTTGTAGCTTTTCCCAATTGAGAGATGAACTCTATATCTCGATTACGGTGATAATTGGGTCTTGTTTAATCCACCTTAGCTTATATGATATTGGATGGGCTTCCATATATAATTTTAAGTATATCATCATGATTTGGATATAATATTGTTATAACTTCCATGACCAATGCATAGACATTTTTATTAACACGATGATAGGCTCCTCATATATAAAATATTTTTCAACTAGGGTTTAAGCATATAAATTATTTATGATAGTCGAGATATACTTAGCTTGTCTTATTTCTTCTCCTATATTTGTGACTTGATTTGTAGGTTATATTCACTTAGTTATAACTTATTTCTCTTTATTAAGAGTAGGTTATGTTATCGAAATAGAATATTGTTGAGTAGAGTAGCAAACGGAGGACGAGTAAATAATATTTCAACCTTTAATGTCATATTGGGAGCTTTATCTACTATCCATATCGGAGTTAAAGATATTTTATTTTTAATTATAAATTTTAGTCTATTGACATATATTGTTGTTTGTTGGTCTTCTGACTCTGATAAGTTACATATATCAGAAAGTCATAAGAACTCATTAGTCATAGATTGAGTACTTTGGATATAGTTTTAGTATTATTGAAATAACAATTGTTTATAATCTGAGAGTAGGAATCTTTCTTTGAGAAGTTGCTTCATCTTCTATCATGTTTATATCGGTACCCTTCCTTTTCTTCTTTTGTTATTATGTAATATATCCCACCAGGTTGTAATACATCCTTTCAACTTGTATACAACAAGCTTAATTTGTTTGTAATCAAGTACATTTATCATCTCGAAAAGTTCTCTACTTCATAACTCCAACCAAGAAAAGCTTCATTGGCCATTAAAATTAGGAAAGTCTACTTTAATGCGATAATCCTCAAATAGCCTATTTTATTTAGGTGGTGCTTGATGTCTTTCGTATTGACATCTTCTTAGTCATCATCATATATTATTTGTTATTGTGGGCGGATAGTACCATGTTGGTTGAGGTTGAGCTGCACATGCACCTCTTCTTTGGTTGATTCTGTGATAGTCCACACTTCCTTCTTATTCGTCTGACTTATTTTTACAGGCTGATTGCGTACGTTAGATTGCAGACCCGTACTGATGATTAAACTGACCATTAGCATCAACTCCGACACAGTTGATCCTATCATCATCATGAATTCTGTTGGTGCCTAAACTTAAGTTAATGAGTATGTCGTGAACCTCTCAGAATTGCCAGGTTATTCTCATTTCTTATGCTTCTAATATCGGTTAAGATTCCTCGATTACTATTATTGGAGTTATTGTCATTACCTCTATCACAAAGATTGTTATCGTCAAAATTGTCATTGTCATTATCGATAACATCATCATCGTTATCATCATTATTATCACTAGACCTTATATTGATGGGTTATAGGATTGTATAAAGCAAATTAAGTTTCTGATATATAAGATCTATTGTAAGTGACAAGTGTAAAGTATACTTCTTAATTTTCTAACCAGAAACTAACACAAAGAGTAAGACGTCAAACGAAAATAAAATTAAAAAAATATTATAGAAATGATTCTAACAAACTGACCCTATAAGGTGACCCTACAAGGAACGACAAAAAAAATTAATTTTTTATAATATAGAAGACTTTAACAATACTTGAATATATTATTTCTCGATGATTCAGACTTTTATTTATACTAATTTTAGATCTTAAAAATTATTTAATTAATTAATAATATAATATATAAAAAATATATATAGATAACTTTAAACTCTTTAAAAATTATTCTTTTCTATTTGTTCCACATTAGAACATTAGAAGGACAAGTGAGTCAATCTCTGATCAAAACAACAGAAGCCCAGGGGTGATCTCACTCTAACTGTGTGATAAACCACCAAGCACAAGCCCCACTTTGTCCATGGCTGGAGTTAGAATAGCATGAAGATGGGTGGCCCAGTAGATGCTCCAAGATTGAGTTGTGCCAGTGGATCTCACATGCTTTCCTCACTGGTAAAGCAGCCAACTGAAGCATTGGGTTTTGTGGGGAAGCTCCTCCTTGCTACGAGCAACAGTCCTCTCTTTCCATAAACATCATGGCTCGAAAAGCTATGGTCAGAAAGACGGAGAATGGCATCACATGGCACAGCCCATTCCATGGCCTTGCACCAGCAGGCTGATGCACCACAAGGACCCTACTGGATTCTCATGAGAGGCACCCCTCACATGGAGGAGAGCAGCAATCCTATCGATGGAAGGAGAGAAACCCCCACCCCACAGCAGCCTCTCAAATTGCAGGTGCTTCAGATTTGGTAGGGAGGAGGCGAATGTGACCTTATAATGGTGTCACAAAATAGGACAAGGGGGCACACAGATTCTCGCAGAGCCTTTCTTCTAATGAGCTACAATTGCTGCCTTTAAAAGATGTTGGAGGCTGTGAGGGATGCCTACGAGCACAGTGCGCAGCAGTGAAAGGCTTTTTGATCAGAGCTTGCAGGAGAGATTAAAAGTTGCATTCACTTCAGAACTTTTGGTAAAGCAGTGTGTGCAGGCATCAGCATTCCAGCACTTGCTGGTTTTACTGCAGAAACAAGTTCTGCTCCGGTGGTGGTGGTGGTGGTGGATTTTGTGAAGCTAAAAGCTGAATGCAGATGTTGAAAAGCTTTCAATTCCACTGGCCAGTTTGTGCCTCGAAAGGATACACTTGCTTGACTCTGCCATTACATCTTGGTGGCCAAATGATCGCCTGTGCTGTGTTTTGTTGAGATGATTAAGCTTTAACAGTTGCATTGATGCCATCATGTGTGCCTATTTTTCCAAATCAAAAAGGGGCCATTGAATTTGATGGTCATTAATGGATAACTCTCTCTCTCTCTCTCTCTCTCTCTCTCTCTCTCTTCATAGTCAACATTCCTAACCTGCTACTTGGACATTGATTAGATTGCCTGTGGAAATTCTACAAGCTGCTCAACAACATGTTCAATGTTCAGACATCTGTGTTTTGTGGAGGAAGATGAGCTTGAGGAACACTGAGCATAGACAAGGAAAAGAAAAGGTTACCTAACAAACAAGTGTACTATGAGCAATTAACAAGGAACACAACATCTGGTGAAGAGAGACAAATTTAGGACAGGGAGAAAGTATGGTGAGATGATTAGGCTGAGGACCCATTCGGTGGACTGTCTATCCCCTCCCATCTCTCTCTTCATTTGTTATCTTGGATGCTTTCTGCACTTCCAAATCCCTGACACCCTCCTCCATAATTCTTTCTCATTTGGCCTCATCACTACCTTAAAGAAGGATGCCCTCCCTCTCCCACTCCTTCCCAAGGTCGCTACAATCCACTCCACATCAACAACTAGCAGTGCTCGGTCGCTCCGTATGCTGCGACGGATGATGGAGGAGAGGCAAGCAAGAGAGCTATTGCAGATGCAACAGTTGGTTTCTCTTCCCTGTGATCACTTTGCGGAAGAGGAGGATTACATAGACATGGATGTCAGCTCTGCTGTGGACGTGGATTTAGGCGGCGGCGGCGGCGGCGGCACCGCCAGCTTCATCTGCTACACCATGGCATCCCCTCCTCTTTCCAAGGAATTCGAATTCCAGATGAGTGGCAACCCGACGGAGAGGGAGGCCACCACCTCCCCCGCCGACGAGCTTTTCTACAAGGGGAAGCTCCTCCCCCTGCACCTCCCTCCTCGCCTTCGGATGGTCGAAAAGCTCCTCGAGAGCTCGAAGCATTCAGACGGCTTCGGAGAGAAGGATGTCTCCGCAGCAGTCGGCGGTGAGCTGAGTGCGGTGTCGGACCAGAAGCAATCGCCTTGGTCCAAAAAGCTCAAGTCCATCAAGCAATCATCGCTGGGCCTGAAGCTGAAGGCTTCTCGATCGTATCTCAAGTCTGTGTTCATCAGATCCAGGTGCTCCGATGAGTCCTGCGCGGTCCTGCAATGCGACGAGCGCTCCAATGGCTACAAGAAGGCAGCAAAGACGAGCCCGCTTGGCCAAATCCAGCAGGGGAAGTACGTACTTGAAGACACCAATGCCGCTAGTCTCAGGAGCACCGAGAGAGAGAAGCTACTGGAAGAGGACTTGATCCACAGAAAGTCATTTTCTGGTGCCAGTAGCTGGAACTCCACAACCAAGCCTTCGTCCTCGTCGACGACCTCTTCCTGCTCGTCCTCTTTGTCGTCCTCCTTCTCGAGTTCCAGCTCGCTCGGGGTGTACCAGCCGCAGATGCTCAAGAGGAGCAGCAGCGTCAACTCAGAGATGGAGAGCTCAATTCAGGGAGCCATTGCTTACTGCAAGGAGTCTCAGCAGCTGGTCGGCGGCCGGAAGAGTGCCAGCGATGCCGGGCTTTATCCATTGCCTGCTTCACGGATTGCTGCAGCTTGTCAAGCTCGAGAGAATCCAAGATTTTGCAGGGGATGATGACCGACCTACTTGTGCTACATGCTACTACTTGTCTAGCTTCTGAAACATTTGACTGTCCTTAGGTTCTACTGGAAATGGCACAACTAATGCAGCTTGCAACGTGTGTCCCTGGAAATATTCTTCAGCTCCATCTCCACCGTCGCAGATGTTATGTCATACATGCATCTCTTTGGTTTGCCATTTGATTCCGTTGACTCCAATCTTGGCATTATCGGCACCAGCAATAAGCACAAGAAGCACTGCTCTCTGCCAAACTCGCTGTTCATCTACCCCCCTCCATTCTCTTCTTTTCATTTCTCAGGTGATTTGGTCTTACACCGAGCTCGCTTTTGTAACCCGAGCGACCAAGATTTCGAGTTGCAAAACGATGCTTCGATTGCGGCGGTAAGACTGCGTGGCGGAATTGATGGAAGTCTCAGTACTCCTTTTACCAGTTCATCGCAAGCCTCCATGGCTGAGACAGTGAGTTCGCAATGATTCGAGGACATGAATCTCCAAACTTAGCAAAAGGCTTAACTTACAGACCAAATTTCCTATAGTGTGTGTGAAGAGTCATCAGATTCGAATGTAGGTCTTTGTTGCATGTCACACCGCAAATCAACTCAAACATCGGATCATTTGGGTTGGTGGCCTAACTGAGAAAGCAGGAATGGTCTCTCTCACAACCACTAGCTAACCAACGATAGCCTTTTCTCCACACTCGGTTGTTTCCTGCCCTGGTAAGTTCATGTCGAAGGGTCAAACACCATCCTGAGGGGTGAAAGCAACAAGGATGGATCCAAAATGCCATGCAACTTTGAGAGCCTCAGCAGCCAGCAGGGGGCATTCAATTGCAAGTGCAGGACTGTGACAGATCAAAACAACATGAATGAGCTGCAGCCCAAGCTCAGTAAAGCTCATAAAAGGCCAACAAAAAGATCCAAGGAAGCGTGAAACAATAACATAAGCTCATGTTGCAGGGAAAAAGATCTCTGGGCATAGTCTTGCAGTAGTTGCTGATCTCTGGCCGTGAAATGACCATTGACAGAGATAATTTCTTTCACTGAATGATACAGACAAGTTGCCATGGCATGCTCATTGATACTTTTTTGTCTGTCAGATCTGAGGATGAAATTTCAATAGTATAAAGCTCACTCCAGTTATAAGAAAAAAGGTCAGACAGAGTGAAAACCTGTTGAGAGTCTGCCTGCTTCATATTTACTGCCACACAACTGCTAAGCTGTCTGAAAACTTTAGCTCAACTGAGCAAAAAAGGTCTGAAAGGCATGTCAATTTGATGAGAGAAAGAACAACAAAGTGGATCTTAAAAGAACCTCAATGATTACAGCTATTAGTGAACTCACTCACTTGTCCATCATATCTGCTTGAGACTGTGCATTAACAAGTCATGCAGGAGACTGACTGACTCAAAAGGCACAATGATTCCTTCACAATGGCACAAAATGCTGCAACACTTGAGATAGAGTGATGGGATTAAAATGTCAAAGGACACAGCAGCACTAGACCTACTAATAATTCTCAACACTTGCCTCTCTACTTGTCTCATTCTTTTCCTTGTATATTGTTGAGTAAAATGAAGATATATGGCTTGACTTAAACATCTACATGTGTTTCATACTTTTGGATCATAGATGTCCTGTTTCTAATACTCATGATAACCCAACCAACACCCAATGCCCACTTGAGAGGATTTGATTCTTTTTACTCCCTTGCAAAATTTGCATTACCAGAAACTTTACAGCAAGCAGCTTCTTCAACTTTAGTGCTTTATTTTGATGCTTTCTCCATTAAGAAGTGACCATTTGCAAGATTAGATTTAAGATTTGGAGGAGTAGCAGGCAGCCTTCTGCTTCCTTTATCCCTTTTTTCTCTCCCTTATCTTTTATAGAGCTCAACTCAGAAACATGTGATCAGAATTCTTTCTTTTATATGTTACTGTGGTAAGAATCAACCAGACAGTGTGATGATGCTATATAAAATGCACATATACATGATGGAAAGTTCTAACATATGCGGCATGCACTCTTGCATTAATAAGGCTTAATGATAGGTGAAACTATAATTTGATTTTCTGAATGATTATATTGTTAAAATTGAGAAAGTCAGATGACATATGTTTATGGTCTTTCTGAAAGCATATTCTCACCCCCCACAGTTTCAGGACAATGTGAGATGATCTTTTGCATATCTATTTGTCACCAATCTGTCAAATCCAACACCAAAACTGACATGAAGAAGTGCCCAAAAAAATATAACAAATGAAAGATTAGTTAAATGTTGGTACAGAGGTTGAAAACAATGAGTTGCTGTGCTGCACAAATGAAACATCTATGTTGTCAAGAAACTCATCAGCAAGTTTCTCAATGCAACAACATGGACATGCATCAGAGCAGCTGCGACTCGAAGCTCCAGAAAAGATGATGCCACAAGAATCTAAGGCTGTTTCCAATTTGATGGCAATCTGATAAGAACAATGTGTTCAATCGACATGAATTGATGAAACCTGCACGAGTTGGAAATAAAAGATCAGCATACAAAACCAACTTTTATCGGTAGTTGATCAAGACAAATGAATTGTCGGTTCAACAGCTTCAACTGAAGAAAGAACTAGAAGAAAAATTGAAACATAAAAGCAATCTTCAATCTGATAAAAGAAAAAGTGAAACATAAAAGCAATCTTCAATCTGATAAGAACAATGTGTTTGATCCAACCTAAGCAAATCAGAATCTACATGAATCCAGGAAATCTGCACAAATAGGAATACTAAAGATCAGCATACAAAATCAACTTTTATCCGTAGTTGATCAAGAAAAATCAATTGTCAGATCGACAGCTTCAACTGAAAAAGGAACTAAAAGAGAAAATGAAAAATAAAAGCAATCTTCAATCTGGTAAGAACATTGTGTTCAATCCAACCTGAGCAAATCAGAATCTACACAAATCCACAAAACCTGCACGATTTGGAAAACAAAAAATCAGCATACAAAACCAACTGTTATCAGTAGTGATCAAGACAAATCAATTGTCTGTTCAACAGTTTCAACAGAAAAAAGAAGAAAATAATAAAAGCAATCTTCGTTCACTACTAGTATCTATCTTAATGGTGATTAATTATGTTAAAATGGATTCATGAAGAAAACCAAGAAATTGCAGATCATGATGCTTCAAAACCAGGTGATTAAGACTAGTAGCAGTATCCCAGAGTAGAATAGTCTTTATTTCGTTAAGAATACCATACAGAAAGAGGGATATTGTTGTGGCCAAATACTGGTAAAAATGTGGAAATTTCATTGTACTACTGGAGATGGATGTTGCTGAGACAATGTTGAATTCATAGACTGATGCAGTATGATTCAACTTACATGTCAGCTCTGACCAGCTCCCCGCACATACAGACAAATACTAAACACGAAAAGTGTCCGTGCTGGATCACCCAGCAGATAGCACATGAAACTCTGAAGAAAGACATTTCACCTCTTTCTTATGCCTATATTATTGTATTGCAGAGCAAACCAAGATAGAAAATAAGTTCTTCTGCAGGCTAAGCAAGAGAGTGCATATTTAATTTCTGTGCCTAAGAATTTTGAAGTTCCCGGATAGATCAGTTATGTGTGAAACACCAACAAGTATTTTATAGAACATGCACCTTTCATTTTTTACCTGGGTGCAAGGTTTTCTTTTGCAAAGTACTGGTTAGTAGTCTAAGCATAATTGCAAAAGTTATTCATGAGTCAACACTAATATATTTAGAGAATCTAATTAAACTGAAAGGAGAGAAAAATGCAATTAAATGATAAATATACCTCAAGACAGAATAACCAGACCAAGGTAAATGGATCCGCAAAGAAATGTAAATGATATTAATCCCCTGGAAGCAAACCCAAGAATAATCATCGATTTAGTGAACCAAAAAATTATGCACGACTGGAAAAGAAAATGGATATCAAATCTCACCAAATAACCCCCCATGCAACACCATTGCAAGGGCAAGGACAGATTTCAGCAAATTTCTCAGCATCACTTGAGTGAACTCTTCGAGATATTAAATCATCATAGATATCTGTAGCAGAGAATACCTCAGATAGTAGATATTGCAACACAATGATTATATTTATGTGTGTTGGTTACTTTGCTTTCTCGTAATACAATGATGTCCAAAATCAATCTTACCATAGACTGAAAATAAGCTGTTCATGACACCTGCATTTACACAGAATCATGGGCAATCATTTTCTATGTAGCTCTTAGCAGATATGAAACAGATATATTGAGGTAGATGTTTTCATACCGATAAACAGAATGACATATCGAAGAATATGGACTTTTGTAGTTTCTTGCAGAAGCCAAATAATGGCAATAAATATAATGAAACCTACAGAAGAAAAGAGCTTTAAGCAAATTTTATTCAGATCTACCATTCAACTTGTGATTACTTGCAAACAAGCAGATTATTAGCGCACACCTATACAGAGTCCTCGAAGCAACCACTGCATGATCCACAAACACAGAATAGGAATATAAGCATACAAGAAAATTGTTGGCTTCAAAAATTGTAATGTACGTTTTGATCTAAATCTTATAATAAAACAACTAGATGATACAAGTCGAGAAAATTTTGAAAATACTTCGTTAAGTAATATAAATTGCTTACATTTTTGGCAACAAATAGCACGACAACCAATGCAAGTAGAAAGCAACCAGCTGCAATTCTTGTCGTAATAAGATTCGTAGATGCAAGAATGAAGACCATTCCCCAAAATGATGAGCCAAGATCTGAGATGAGAGAAGACAACATTCAACAAGGCCATAAGAACCAACTACGATATTGAAGCATGTCAGAGTTATTAGATTTAAATCATTGGTTCAAATGATCGGGTTGCAACTGATCAGTTCAAAGGAAGAAAAATCTCATTACATCCAGCTGGCAAAATGATCCAATAGATGCCACCACGAGTTTGTGTGACTCCACCCTCGTTTGCATGCACTTGTATGCCCTCAACCTGCGGGAAACATATTAATTGTGAATACTTCACTCCTCCAGTAGACATCAGATTTTTGTTAAACTATAATACAACCTAAGTAGCTTCTTAATCAATCATCAATCATGAATAACAACAACTTAATCTTATGCATTAAAACTGCTGTTCGATATAGTATTAAACAGTCGAAGAATACCGAAAAAAACAATAGAAATTGTGTTTTGATTTTGGTAGCAGGTCTTGAAGCTGAACAACCATGATTAATCATCCATTGAAACACTCCCAAGTTAAATGTTACAATTTTTAGTCAAGAATAGCCAAAAGTTAACATAGGTCTAACTTAATAAGAATAAAACTTCATATGCATTTACAAGCCGTATGTTATGCTTAGAATCATTTGTTTCATCTCCGTATCAGAATTGCTTACATCACCGCATGTTAACTTGCAGGCGAGGGCATGACTCGTCTCGTGTAGGAACACCGTGATGAGCTTGAAAGGTGTGAGCAGCACCGTCCTCCACAGCTACAAGACACCAAAAGCAGAGACAGCAAGAGATCAGAGGGCAGCAAACAAGCATGGACCGGCCAAGCCCAGACTCAAGACGAATGCTCGTCAAACCACGGAATATACCACCGAAGCTACAAACTTTACTCGATTCCTACTTTTAACGGGGAGAAAAGGAATTGCTTTTCGAAGGACCAGGGAGAAGCAAAAGGAAAACATGGTCGCGAAGAACGAACTCACGGCGAGGATGACGAAGGTGAAGACGCCGATGGTGACGATGAAGGCGACCTGGTCGTGGTCGCAGCAGTTCTTGAGCTCCCAATTAGGCATCTTTCCTTCTTCTTTGCCTTCGCCTACGGAGTTTAGCCCAAGGCAATAAGTTCTCGGGATCCGAGGAGAAGAGAGATGGAGAGATCGCCGGCTTAGAGAGAGACAAAGAAGAAGGGAAGAGGACAAGGAAAAGGGTGGCGAAGGGAACGTTGAGGGTGATACCGGACGCGGAAGATGCCTCGATCCCGTGTTGAAAGCTTCAAATACTTCAAATGAACGACTCTGAACACGAGAGAGAGAGATTGGGCAGACCCAAGTCTTTGCGTTTCGTCTTCTTCCAAAGGGAAGGGGGGTTTGCTCAACCAAAGCGCGTTTCCCGAACTCTTTTGGCTTTCTTCGTCTTTTGTTGCAAAGGCGAAGGATCTACGCGACCAAAGCGCGTTTCCCGACCTCGTCTTTGAGCTCTTATTTCCAGGGGAAAGAATTTGCTCCACCAAATCGCGTTTCCCGATCTCAGCCAAGTGTTTTAGCTTCGTCTTCTTGCGAGGGGAAAGGATTTGCTCCCCCAAAGCGCGTTTCGCGACGTCGGCCAAGTCATCGAGCTTCGGCTTCTTTGCTAAGAGAGAATTCGGTCGACTCAAAGCGCGTTTCCCGGCCGCAACAATTACATGTGAGCACGAATATTAAAAAATATAATAAAAATAATTAATTATGTGAGGAGAAGTCTTATTTTGACCATAGCAAAGATAAAAACAGATGAGGAGAAGCCCACCTGATTCCATTTTTTCTTATTTCATAAAAGTAATTTTCGTTAGATACATGTATCTATGATATCACATCTCCTGAAAGGAGTTATTTATTTTGGAAAGAAATAAATAGAAAATTATATATATACATATATAGATGAATAATTTGAGTATAAATTATCTTAACTTGGTCTGATACTATCCTATGTGGCACCCACTTGGTTCCCACAAGGCCCCACATGTGCCACATAGAGTAGAATTGTTTGACAGTAAAGCCTTAATCAAACCTAAATTCGTCATGTCAAACCAGAGTTGTGGTAGTGCAAATCAAATTGTACAGCCTTGAAAGAGAAGGTCGATCAGCAGTGGTTTCCGATGTGGATGTCTAATAGTTTCGGTTAATCTAAATCCAAGAAAGTTTCTGTTCTATTTGTTGGCATAGTCTTCATCTGAAATGGATAGGTTGGATTTTGGAATTGATAAGGCGTATTTGAGCCCAAGATACGTCACAGTCGATATCACACTCCAAGTCAGAATCCGTACCGAAACGCTATTCAACATGTCCCGTCCCGAGAGCTCAGGGCGGTGTCGTCTAACGTCGTTCCGCACATCCCGAGACGTTGACCAATCATAAGTGTCATCCCATCCCTCGAGGATCAGCGTCCACACCGAACCCGCATGCAATCGACCCTCGTACAATAGTATAAAAGCCTCTGGCCAGCATCCGATCAGGGGGAAGGCAGAAAAAACAATTTCAACCCACAACTGACTCGCTCGTTAGAGGGGCCAAAGTCGAGAATCACTCGACGAAGGTCTTTTTTACAGGCAAGCAGCCACCCCCGAGCCACGTGCACCTCGACCCGAAAATCGCCATCCAGTGAACGAGGGCGAGCTGTCACCTAGCCCAGGAATGGAGAGACGCAGCTCGACGCAGACGGCGCCCGAACCGAGAAACGCTGACCAACACCCCGTCATGAAGGCCCGACCTACCTCAGCGTCCAGCTCAGCCGACAGAGAACTCCCGACATCGACCTGTGGATCAGGCCGTGCTGACTCACCAACCACGACACATTTGTTCACCAACAGGAACCACTGTCCTTTAAAATTAACCTTAATACTACTGTATTTACGAGATCCAAAATGTAGCCATATAAAAAATATATCCACCTGTTGTGCGAAATTATTTCTTTTGAAGAAATAAGATGAGATGCTTTCCAATCCAAACTCCTCTTTTTCTAATCATCCTACCGAGTCAAATCAAGAATTCGAGCGGAGACAATCATATTAGAGAGTTTGATATGTCGATAGTAAAAAAAAAGTTCAATGTACTATTATTATTATTATTATTATTATTATTATTATTATTATTATTATTAACTCATTTATTTTTGGTGAATTGCTTAGCATGTATGAAAGATGCAGTAAGAATTCTCTGTGCCGCAATGTTCTTAATCGCTTGCAGAGTTGTTCTTTGATTTTTCTCCAATTGAATAAATTATCTACTGCATATCAGATGATTATTTTCTTGTAAAATTAAATAGATATATTGTTAGAAATACAATATATGATGGTATTGAATTTTAAGATATGAATGGATTATTCTACATGGACTACTTTGCATTTAGCATGCTTAAATTTCACTTGGAATGCACATAATCCTTTCTAGCTCTCCCTGGAAAAGATTGGTCAATAGTGCGATCATATTTTTGTCTGGTGTTATGATCAATCATGTAAGTAAAATCTCAACTTTGTAGGTCAACTAATTTGTACCAATCCCCTAATAACTCCTATGTTAATCAACTGAATTTTTCATATGAGAGATATATCTACATTAACTTCTCTATGGTATTGGATTATGATCTGACAAGAAAGATCTCATTGAGCTAAAAACTACTGCTTCCAATGCTTTTCTGAATGAGGCTATGCTATGGCAACATAACCCAGTGGGGCAAATTGAGTGAGTTTGAGAGACTCACTCTCAAACAAAATGAAATCATAGAAGAGTATTTGTGGCTGCGGAAACAAGAATTTACGTCTTGTTTTCTGAAACAACATTGTCGGCACACTCGCAGCATTTCATTTCTAACTTCACTTGATTGATGACAAAAATCAACAGGGCTGATACGTCAAGATTCATTTGTACTTCCTCAAATGACAACAGAAAAAAATGAAGATATTGATTCATTTTGTTTCTTGAAAGGGCATAACTATGTGTTAATTGGAAAGCTGAGACCATGAGAGTGAGACTGCTAAAGAAACTGACACTCTAATTTCAAATAGGAAAGAAATTGGATAAAAAGTCCATAATATGTTGCTCTGAACAGTGAAAAATAATCACAAGATGAAAGAAATTTGTAGCAATTTGAACAACCATTGGACTCATGGTTCGGCAGGCAAGCACTTCTAGTTTCATATGTCAAGAATGTTGAAAGAGTCTGCTACCACCTTGAGCTTGTTCCGAAGTCTAGTCCACCGCCTCTCATTTGCACCAACAACTAATGTGTAGTACCGCCCTTCCAAGAAATCAAGAACAGTAGTTATGCTTTGCAGAAATACAACTAGAGATATTACCTTGTGCATAGCTCAATGATGAAACAAGGTCCATGTTATCGTTATTTTTGTTTATGAGTTATTTTAGGAAACATATAGTGAAAAGTTATAAAGTATTTCGGATTGATCCAAATCACAGCATCACTTTGATATCTGAAACAAAGTTTCCGAGTTCTAGATCATTTGACTGTCTTAGTCTCCAGAAAGAAACTGAAGGGTTACTTTGTTCCAGCAATGCATATATCAACTTCCGACGACATGATCTCTCAATCATCGTGCCTTCATAAGATTGAAATTACAAGTTAAGAAAAGCTTCTTTCTCTTCCTGTGCCTCTAATTTCACTCTGGATAATTTTTTGTATCTGTAACTGAAATTTTGCTGTTTCAGTAAATTTGTTGTGTTTTTATTTTGCAGAATGTAATGCCTCAATCACACTACAGCATTTGCAGCAGCACTAAATTCCATTTTCAAGCAAATCAATATGTCACAATCAGTGTGAAGCACTAATTCCTGTTTCTCAATTGTGGTTGATTTTACGATAAACTGCAGCTATGTGATGATCTTTCCAAATTCACAGTATTAGGATCCTTATCCATGCAACAATGAACATAAGATGTATGGTTTAATGAGAATGAAACAGCAAGTCTTAGGATACATTTGGAAGATCTAAAACCATGGCATACATGAAATGAAACGGTAGGAATGGTACCATTGCCAATTGCTATTGTCGCAAAGGCAGTACGGGAAAAGCCTGGGGATTCAAGTTCGTATTCGAATGTCCAATAGTTCTTTCCATCGACAGTTCGCTGCACAGAATCATACAAAGAACTGTCAGTATATGGAGAAGCAAAGGATTACATACATCAGTCAGTACTTATTCACTATCTTAGGAATCAGTTCACCGCATTGATTCTGACCTAGAAACACATTATTGAATTTTGCCACATGAAGATCTTTAGATAAGCACTTGCATATGTTGCACATTAAGTAGTATTCTCAGACCGCTACATAAAGAAGCAACAATTTGTGTTGTTTACCAAGAAGATGCTTCTATTTGTTTTTCCGATTGTGATTCACTTGAAGATGCAAAGAAACAAGAAAAACAGGAAGACAACCAAGTGTTGACATCAATACAAAAGGCATACACTGTAAACCCAGGTTAAACAGAGAAACTACACACCTCCTGCATCTCATATATGCTTGGAATCTGATTTGGTGCAGCATAAATATTTTTTACCAAGTTGAAAATGACCTGCTAAGCGTATGAAACATTAGCGAAAAACATAAGTTGGAATGCGTATAAGCTATTGAGAAAGGATAATTTTGCTGATTATACTTTTACCGATCACAGTCTACTTCTGCATGATCATATGAAAAATGCAGACTGCAATTGGATTGAATGCAGCTTTCCGACTAACATTACCTCCTCCATGGATCCCAAATCATGAATATCTTTCTTTTCGGTAGGAATGAAACTGACTCTGACATGTTGCAAAGCTGCAAATCGATCTTTAAATGCTGAATCATGGCCCATGTAATCAAAATCCTGTTATCACATGAAGGCAAATAATTAATGGATGATCAGATGGTATTCTTCTACCATGTGAAACTCAGAGATCATATACATTATTCTTTGTTCCGATAACTTAAATGTTTGAACATTGCAGATCGACATGGTGACATACTCTCCAATCGGAAGGATAATAGTATGCATATCCATCTGTAAAATCCACGAAAGCTCGAAAATTCTCCGGTACATCTGCACATGTCAGTAATGAGAAATCAGAATCGACAGGGAGAGATTCTGCCTGTTGTATTAGATTATTCTTTCAGTAGGAATAGTGTACAGGAACACAATGCTCACCTTTTGGCAGGAACAGCAGTATCAAGAAACAGGAAAACACAAGTGAGATTGAAAGAACCAAATGATGATACCTTCAGCGCTTGCAAAATTTGCCCAGGACAAAGCAGCGGTCAAGGAACTGAGTCCAACTAAAACCTGCCTTCTCCTTAAACAATCTGATGGAGAAATCAAGAGAACGATGTTTGAGATGCAGAAATATAATGATGGTTGAATAATTCTCAGGAATTGTTGGATCTAATAGAAATCAAAGAAGTACAACAAAAGCAACTTATGATGCATTCCTAATCATTGACATGGTTTGACACAATCTGATCACATTGCAACATATGTTCATCATCGTCTTCCAATCCGTTGGAGAGAGGAGCAAAAGATTACACGTACTACAGTAAACAGAGAATGTAAAGCTAGGAAAGCATACTTCATTCAGTGAAGCAACATAGAGTCCATTATTCCATGGAATTAAATTAGCACAGCAGCAAACAGAGAAATAGGCATCCTCCGATTCTTAGAACTCTCTTCGACAGTAGTTACCACCTAAACACTAAACCCTCTCACATACCCTTCTCCGTAAGTGATGCATCCGTCGAGCTCGCCCTGACGACGAACGAAGCAGCCGCAGCGGATCGATGGTTGACGACAGAGCTTGCGACAGCCAACTACGGGAAGCAGCAAAGAGAACGCACGAGTTAGCAGGCTTCAAAGCTGTCAGGTCAGAGAAGGGGAAGCTACGAGATGGCGGTGGCGCACTTGGTTGGGCAGAGAAGTGAGCCAGCCATGTGATGCTGCCATTGCGGTAGCGACGAGAGCAAAGGCTCGAAGAGAAGGGCGCGGAAGCAGAAGAGTCCTCCGTCGGATTGCTCACGAGAGATGGGCTTCCAAGGCAACGTGGCGGGTGACTGCAGCGGTGCCACGTCACCCTCTGGCCTTATCCCAAACTATAATTAAATTTATATTTTAAAAAACAATTAATTAGGAATTTTGTATTATAAATGAAATGAGTTAAGATTATTTAACCAATTTTCTTAATGAATTTCTTAATTTCTTAATTACCGAAAAATATATTTAATTTCTACTCCGTTGGCGATGCTGACTAATGATGACATGTTAACCAAACACAGCGGTTGCTAATCCTCAAACCTCTGCAATCTTACTGGTTGTATTCGCTTGAACAGGGCAAGATCATAGTTTGTGTTCGAGCTACACGAGTCGACCTCCATCGGTGTTTTCATTATCTTGTACAGCTGAGAGGACAAGGAATCAGGCCTTCTGGATTGTATTCCAATGGCCCTGGAGAATCATGAGCTGTGACCGATGCCGAAGCAACCTGAGATTGTGGGAATGGCCCCGGAAATATAAGATTCAGAAGCAATGGACCCGCTCCGAGAACAGCTTGCTGAAACCTTCCTCTCTCCGGGAGAGGTCTCTTCATGGCAAGCCTGTCAACCGTAGCAGAAGACATGGCCTCGGACGCTGAATGCTTAAGCTGTCGTGAGATGCCCATGCCATCGCAGGGATCACCCATGTCGATGCTTGAGAGCTGTGGAGAATCGACGGTGTCGGCGGGAGATGAGCCTCTTGATTGACCCATCCGTGGAATATCCAGTGGCAGATGCAGAGGAAGAATAGGGAGCTGGACCGTGGTGGGTTGTATCATCAGGTTTAGCAGCAGCTGCAGCTTCCTTCTTGCCTCGTCTCTTTCATGGGTTCTCTCCTCGAGGAGGTCCATCAAGCGCCCGATGGTTTCGTTGGCCTTGTGCAGGTCGTTGCGGGTACTGATCCGTAGTTCCTCTCGTTCGGCGGCGGCACAGATGAGCTTATGCTTCAGCTCCTCGTTGCTCTGTTGGCAAAAGATTCGGCATACGTGAGACAAGATGAATGTTGTCTTCAGACATTTTACGAGTCACTGCAGACAAGCATACGAATTCGCTGATCTCTTTAGTATGTAGGCTTTCCTGCACATGACTTGTAATCAGCGAGCAAGACCTCTTTAAGCATGACTTTGGAAGCCACGGTTCGGGTGTTAGAATCGAGGTCGAAGGAGAAATTATAGGAGGAGATTATTGATAGGTATATTTTCGTATGAACCACACCATGGAGAAAACAGTTCGAAGGGGGAGAGCTCCACGAAGACTAAGCTTGCAATTTATTAACACCTTACAAGGAAGAGATTAAAAATATTGAAACAAAAAAGCCACCACAACCGGAAGAGAAAGATGAACAGTGTCGGACCTCATCGTAGCCCCAAAGAGAAGCCAAGCCTCCGTCGTCCATAGCAATCTCCGATCTGTATGTGGTTTGTGCGAGACGACCTTGTCGGTGTCTTGTTGCGTGATTGTGCATATAATGGCAGAAAGGTTACAGGGGAAGGAAAAGATGGAAGGAATTATCTTTTTTAGCTGCGGTCTTCTCAAGGAAACTTGCCATATTATGTATGCGGTTCATATAGGGGAAAAATAATCAAAGAAAGAAACTTGCGCCTGTGAAGGCTGTAAGTACGGCCAACATCACGTTGATGAGGTATTTCTTTACAAGAGTTTTGGAGTGCTTTTAGCAAGATAGTTTTCGCTCTTGATTCACTGCAAAAGAAGACATGATAGGATCCCTCAACTTCATTGATCCCTATATTAAAAGACGATCTAAATTTCTAATTGAGCCGATTTATAGGATAGGATTAGATGGTCCCTCAACTATTATCAATTTGAGACTAACCATTTTTGAGCCAGTAGTTCATGGCTATCGAATTAGTGGATAGAGTATTTCATCTGACTGGATCACGACAAATGAGATATATTCCGATATTAAATGGTGAGGGATGAAGTAGGAAAGTATTGCTCTGAAACCATGTATCTATGAACTTGCTTTGTACAAAGCCTCGTATCTTTCAAGAACAAATGCAGAAACTATGGTGGGAAGAAAAGGCTACGACCAAACACACTTTTTTTTTTTAATGTTTTACTTCAAGAAATCACGTAAATAGAAACCACATTGACTTTAGATGTTCTCGAGATAGTTTCTTTTGAAAGCATCTGAAACATGCATTGTACATAATCTCAGCCATACCTCCAGCAATACAGTATTGCAATGACCATTATCAAGAATATTTAAAAAACACACATCTTTGATCTCAACCACCAAAAAACAAAAAAAAGTTGGACTCTTATTAATCACCAGTAATGGTAACCGAGTAATAATAGTTCATAAAGAGTGACAGCTTCCAAATAGAAAAGCAAGAGAATTTGCTCCTTGACTGACACGTCCCATTATCAATAAATGGTCTCTTCAAGAATGTGATCTGGCTAATGAAATAATGACATGCAAGTTTGAGTGCAAACATTAATTATACGTGAATAAATCATAAATATATTCTACAGAATGGCTAATGACAGGTCCTTCAATTGCTGGGGATCGACTGAAGATGGTGCTTTAGTGAGGGCACACTGGGCCGTTGTGGTCTTCGGAAAAGCTATGACATCCCGGATCGAATTTGAGCCAGCCAAAAGCATCACGAGACGATCCAAACCATAAGCAATGCCACCTGCAAGATGTTCATCAGAAAAGTTATCTAATTCAAATATGCACAATATGGACCGACAACAATTCCTCCAGATTCTCTAGTAATAACAGTTAGAGAAACAATGTAATTTAAACAGATTCTCTAGTAAGAACACAAATTTTCTCCAGATTCTCTCGGTAATTCTGTACTGGTATAAAAAAGTAATTTAAACAGAATGGCAAGGTAAAGCTAATAAATTTGAACTTGCATGTTTAGGATAATACAATACCGTGAGTTTGAAAGATTAACATACCATGTGGAGGAGCACCCATATCCAGACACTCCAATAAATAACCAAATTTTTCTTCTGCCTGCATAAACAAATGACAATTACAAAGGATAGATTCACGCCAACATAACAAGCATACAGTCCCAATAGTCTTCTGGTTATCAATTAAATTAGTTCAATGGAGAAAATTTGACAATAAACCAGTTACTGAAACCAAGCATGCATGACAGAAGAAAATAGCATTCGAGCCTACATCATCACACCTTACCCATAGTTGATCTAGGAAGTCATTTATGTTGGCATCTCGTGATGCTTTTGGCTCCCTCAAATTTGATTCGGGACATCATAGCTTTTCCGAAGACCACAACTGCGCAAATTTTCTGGTTGAACTTTTAAAGTTCTTTGCAGTTTGATCTAGGAAGTCATTTATTTTCAGGTTAATATAACTCCTTAAAGTGCATTTGTTCTCATGGAGGTTCTTCCCTTTTGAACTTTTAAAGTGCATTTTCAGGTTAATAAACATTAGGTCAATCACTTAATTCAGAGTCCAACTCTTTACATTCCAGACATGGATCTGATCTCTGATCCATAAAATAATGAAATTAGAACTCATGAGATTAATTTGGGAGTTTTAAGGAGTTGAGGTGCATACAATTTGACCCTGGTTCAATCCATATCATTTTTGTTTACATGTATATGTTATTATTGGTCAACATGCTGATCGTTCAATAGGTCTTGAAAATGCAGCATATACCTAAAAAATGCTTATCATGTGAGTATGCAACCAAAAGAGCGATTATAAAGTCATGAACAATAAAAAAACAGTAAAGCCTTTGCTTCAACATTGAAAATTAAAGCTCACCTGCATATGAGAAATGCCAACAATTTCCAAAATCTTTTCTTGTACTTCACGCTTATAGATTCTCAAACTCCCACCACCAATCTGTGGATAACAAAGAAAAATCAAAACCCAAACTTTTTAACTTTTTACACCAAGGAAACAAAAACTAGCGGCAATGATTCTACGATGGTCATCCAGAGACAAATATCCACATTTGCTTATTCATTGACATGAAAGGTTAAGTAATCAATTAAAAAGGATCCATCCTGAATAAAAATGATTTGGCTGACAAATACGACGTAAAAATCAACAATGCACAAGCTAGTTAAGAAACTAATGGAGCAGCTCTTGGCCTCAACCATAACACCGACTAAATGGAGCCACATCGATACCTCATATCTCATCACCTATATAACAAGTTCTTTGATTCCACTGATCGTTACAATGTTCAAAATGGTCTGTCTAACTTGGAGCTTTAGAAAATCAGTTGGGTGATCTTGAGTTGTGGAGACAAATGTATGAAACCAAAGGTTTTAGACTAAGTAGGACTAAGACTGAATATACAAAATAGATCTTTAGAAATATCTAATAAGTAGAAAGTATAGACATCAAGTCACTAGAAGTAAAGTTTTACATGTCTTGGATCTATTATTCAGCAAGAAGAAAAGACTGATGAAGGTATGGTTCAAATAATTATAACAGAAACGATTATAGGAGCCAGAGGCATCAAGAGTTATGTTAAATCATTGTCTGCCTTATATATTAAAAGTAAACAATTTATAGGACTGTTGTAAGGAATCACCTTTACTATATAACTTATATGTTGGACAATTGGGAAACAACATATACAAAGAAGTGTTAAAAAGATATTGAGATTTATGATGTGGAATCACTAGAAGAGAATGGGAAAAAAAAAAGCATTCATGAATAACTGGATGTAGCTCCGATGAAGGTTGAAATAAGGAAAAACCATTTAATATGGTGTTAGACATATCCAAAGGAAACTTCTAAGATAAAAGAAACCCATAAATGTATGCGATTTGAGAAGAGACAAAGAGAGACCTAAAAAAAGTTTATCAGAATCCATTAAAAAAATGATATGACTGCTCTTGCTTTGACTGGTGATGTTACTCTTGATGGGCATCAAAATATCAATGCAGCCAAACCCAGATAGTTGAGATATTATAACTTCTTGTTGTTGTTATGTGATCTAGTGAAATTAAACTATGAAAAGAGGCAAATATTGATACCTAAGGAAACTAAAGCTAATAAAGCATATCATCTGTCAAAAGATGACCATGTATCTCACATAGTCAACTAGATTAGTAGATGGTGACAAAATCCAAAGTTAGATTTGAACTTTTCACGGAAGCGAAATAATTCAAGATTGTAATTGCATGTAAGAATATCCTGTGGATAATACAAGAAGCTTAATTGCAAACTGGGAAGCAAACAAAGGCATAAACAAAAAAGAAAATGTCAAAACCAAGTGTTGGCTATTCTGAATCCTTGCTTGTCTTGTTGTTCGCCTTATGGTCCCCTTTTTTCTCTCAAGGGAATCTAATTGCTTTATACTCAACTAGTGGTGCTTCTAACATATTAACAGACAAGCCATGTATTTAAAGAGTATCCAAGTTTTTCACTAAGTTCAAAAAAGATGGCATGTTTACAAGCTATTAAAAATATCATATAGATGCAGGTGTAATTCCCCTATGTTTCATATGTCCTTGCGTGAAACCCTACTTGATTGTGAGAAGTCATTGAGCCAAGCAAGATAAATTTTTGCTCATAAGTAGCAACAGTCTGCATGTAATATGTGAGGAAAGCTTAAAGAAGCAGATCATCATGATGTTGCACATAAATATATATTGAATCTACATATCTAGAAACAAGAGCAGGAAAATGAGCATAGGATGTGTTAGATGTATACCACTTGCCAGTGAGAAACAAATGCTAATAAGAATTTTATATTGTCAGGATCAACTATAACTAAGAATTTAAGAAGCACCTCGACACCATTGTAGACCATGTCATAAGCCAAAGCACGGGCCAAGGGAAGGTCATTCATGTCTTCAGGATTTGGAGCAGTGAAAGGATGATGGAGGGCCTACAAAAATAAAAATCACCAAAACATTTAAATCATCGGAATCATTAAACCCACCTCAAATATGATCAAATCAAGGTTAGATTTCAGCCCAGTTTGGCCAAAATTAACTTGGAACACTCAAATGTTGAAAATCAAAGCTACCATAATATGCTCTTGTTAAGTGTAACCCTTTATTTCTCTCCTGTCCACTTTTTCATCTTAATCTTATATTTCCTTTATGTGTGACAACATATTGTGCCAGAATCAATTAAGATACTATCACATACTGGAAAGCATGGTTACAACAAAATAGATGTCACTAAAAAGAGTCTCCGACAAATGTTCCCATAGAGAAGGTAGAAAAGGTAAACATGTATAAATTTCAATACTTCTTATGGTTGGCAAAGTTCTTAAAAGAAATTAATGTTTTTAAACAGGAATAACCTATGTATAAGGAATCAGCCCATACTAATTAAATCTGTTTGGCAAATTTGTTGATCAAGTATCAAGGACTGAGAATTTAAACGTAGCCATCAGGTCCGGTCTTAATTCTCAAAGTACAATAAAGACAAGAAAGGTACCTCATATCTCTGTTCTGAATCATTCCACTCAAACATTGGAAAGTCTGTCACCCACAGGATTGAATGTGATGTCTAACAAACCCAGAACAACAAGTCAGCATGCATTTATTAAAATAAAATAACTTATATAGAATTGTAAATTGCTTCTACCATTAACAAATTGATAAGTGTTTCATCCACATAAATAATAGAGATTATTTTTCTTTCCAACAATAGCCCTATTATCAGGCATAAAAAAAAGTGGAAAGGAGATTATTAACATTCTGCCTGCATGTTATCACTGAGCATCATTTCGGTTGACTAGCATGTCTTTGTTCTGGTTTTCATTGACCATAAGTGTGAAAATATTTGCAAGGGAAAGGGTAAAACTTCATACTTAAAGGATTGAATTTGTAATTACTGGTCTTGTATTATTGAGAATATCTCACTTATAAATTGATTAGACCCCAAAAAAGCATAGATAATTTAAAGGTCAAGTTCATAAGTTGCAACCATCTCCCTGAACAACAATAATAACAAGCTGTAAGGTCACAATTACTTGTGTTGGACACATGTTATCCTAACAAAGTTTTCTTAGATCTTCCTCTAATTCTCTATGCATAATCACTTTGTTTAACCATTGCATTGCAATGCTATTCTACCATCTGAATGGTGAATACCCATTACCACAAATCCTACCTGATGTTGCATTCTTCAAGAGTATAAGAAACTTGTTCAATTAATTAAGTTATTGCTGAAAGTCAAATTCATAAATTATGCAGTATGTTCAAGGTATAAGGTAATAATATTTGAAGACTTGCATACATAACTAAGCCATAAAAATTACCAATGGAGGAAAATTTTTAAATAGCTTCAAGACTCACATAATTAATCAACTGCATTTCATGTGCCACATATAATCTGAGCCGGTCAAGTGTCTTGTTAACCATTGCATGGTGACCCACTGCAAACAAAATAAGATCATCTGCCTTCCCAGAGCAAAGTCTCAGCAATTCTTCTCTATTTTCAGGTTCTAGATTAGATGTTAAAGCAGCAACGCCTTCAAGCTCACCTACACATTTCAGAAACTTTTTGTTGACTTTAAATAAAAAGCTTCAAGATAACTACAGAAGCAGAAGACAAAGACAAGCTCACATCCACTACCATTATCTAAAACCTTGACAAAAGGTAAACCCTTTGCTCCTGCTTTAATTGCTTCACTAAAGATAGCACCCTTCTTGAGTGCTGTATTTGAAAATTTTTGTGCACCTGAAGGCACACACAATGCTTTAACGATGCCACCCTTTTCTAATGCATCTGTAAAAACCTTGAAATTACATCCTGAGAAAACTGAGCTAACCTGCAATTTCAAACATATCAAAAAAACCAGACTTATGAGAACTGATAAAGATCGTTAATAGATCTGTAACTACCATAACAGGGAGACAAAGCGACTCGAACAGTATGTTTTGTATTTTACAGTAGCTAACATGCATCTCTAACAAAATTTAGCGAGAAACACTCCATCCTAGATATTTTAATAGATGGGGCACTAATGATATAAAAGCTATCTAAACATATACCTTCTAAGCAATTTAATTGAACAAAATTTAATGTTTATGTAGAGATATCTTGCAAAAGTATAGAATTGACGTATGTGAAGAGCCATACAGCCCATATCTACCAACTGGCAGATCAACCAATAATATCATAAAATTCACTGAAATAAATTAACAAGCTTCTTGACATAGAGATGACATACATGCATAGTACAGTGTCCGATTGGATCACTCACATCACTTGCAGAGGTAACAAAATATTAGAATCCTAAGGTCCTTTTGGGTCATATAATCTTCAAAGCAAAAAATCCTTTCAGCCTACTACTACGTGACAGAAGGACGAAGGAGGCTCTAAATTCTGCTTTAATATGATCATTCAGTTAACATTCCCACAATTGTTAAATGAACCATTGCTGGCATAAACTTCAGCTAACTCTAAGGATAGACTAAGGGGAAGTAATGACAGAAGAAAACGCAGAAAGCAGCCTGAGGGCATTCATTGATTCTTTCATCTCTAGAGCCAAAAAACAAGTACTAATATTTGCAGACACCAGAAGTCACGTTCACAGATTTTTGACTCCACCTACTGCACGAGAATCGTATCGGCATTATATAGATCATAGCGCCATCCATGATTTCGACAGGTAATTGTACATAAATGCATAATCCGACTACATGAATAATGATTCAAAAACCACAACAATAAAATTAGCAATCATAGCTAAACATAATTGAGGTGATGAGGCTTGTAGGTGTATACATGATAAATGGATGGAATACTCAACAAATTATCAAGTTATCTAATTTACCAAGCATATTTATTCATACCCATTTTGTTATAAATTCCATGATGATCAGCTAAGACATTGTAGATTGCCCACCTTTAATTGGCTAATGTTAGTAATTACTCTCCAAAAAAAAGAACCTAGAGAAGCAGCCCATCATATCTCAGCAAGAAAAACTTACATCTCTTAGTTCCAGACTAAAGCGAAGATCCGGCTTGTCTGACCCATATCGACTCATTGCTTCAGCATAGGTAAGCCTTGGGAATGGATTTGGAAGTTGGATACCAGCTATTTCTTGAAAGATCTGATACAATATAGCTTACATTCAGATTCCAAAGAAAATAAGTCAAAAGCAAAGTACTTAAACAACATCATGAATCTAGCTAATTAGACATATTAAGAAAAAGAAGGAGAAAAGCAACAAAAAACAGACATGTCTTATTAAGTCCTCATTAAGTCTCAGCATGTCCTCCAAAGGTGTAAAAGCCAATTCCATATCCAGCTGAGTGAACTCAGGTTGCCTATCTGCTCTCAGATCTTCATCACGAAAGCACCTTAAAAACCAGAACTATTAGGTAGAAGAAAACAATAACAAAAATTATCAACCAATTCCGTTTAGTGGTTCAAGAAGAGTAATATATTTTCTACTAGAAACTTAGAAATGGAAGAAGGCAATTTTTACTCCAAAAATTGAAACTAAATAGGCTTTAAGATTTTCCTACATACACATTAAAAAAAGAGCATACATAGAGTCCAAGTGACAAAAGGCCACATAACAGACGCAACTGCAATATGCAAATCCTAGGTAAAATGTTCATAAAGATAAGATAGATATATATATATATATATATATATATATATATATATTCGATTAGCTCCTGAAAGATACCTTGCAATCTGGTAATATTTCTCGAAACCGGATACCATTAGCATTTGCTTGAACAATTGTGGACTTTGAGGTAAAGCATAAAAAGTTCCTGTCTTCATAAACCATATTATAGAAAATCAGAAAAGTCAATATATAGAATAAGAAAGTATTTGGATATTGCCAAAAATCACCATCTTATTAAAACAATGTATAAAAAAACTAATCAATGGCATATATACAGAGATGCATACAAGGACAGCACATATATACAGATGTAATTTCTCAATCCCAAGAATCAGTGACAGCACATCTTTGCAATTATCAAGCAAAATATTCAATTGCATTAAGCAAAAATAAATAGCAATGCAAAAAAATAATTAAAAGAACTGAAAAAAATCAACAGTTTGGTATACAAATGAAGTCACAAAGAAAAAAAATTGAATAAAGAAGTTTAATTACCTGAATACGTGATGGCACAAGATAATCACGAGCACCTTCGGGTGTGGATCGAGATAATATTGGAGTCTCAATCTACCTTAAGACCCAAAATAAAACTATCAACCACAGATAAGCAACACAAAAAAAAAAATGAAAGCACTTCAATGGCATATTCTTATTTGAAATAAAGCACAGAAGTAATGCCAATGACATAGCCTGCATAAAAACACAAGGGGAAAAGAGATAACCCCATAACTAAGAACCGATGCTCAAAGGCTACAGTCATAATGGCACAAAGATATCCAAATGCAATCAAACTCCAATAAATGCAAAATTACATGGCCACGACTTCCTAAAAAGGGCTACAATGTTATCAACTGCATATCAAGGTGCAAAGGTTATTTGTAGTGTGGTACTAAAATTCTAAAACTTGTATCAACAAAGGCTTATAGGCATTACTAAGGTGAGCATTTGTCGAATGCTGCAGGAGCCTTTTCGAAAGGAAAAAAAACCTAAAACTGCTAACCTGGAATGTTACACATATTTATCTTGAATCTTTTTGTTTATTCACTTTCAAAATCCTTCTTGTTTTTGTATAAAAAAAATCACACTACATATTATTCAAATGATAGTCCCCAAAATCTTTCTCTATAATGATTGTAATATCATACTAATTTTTTTCCTGGTTCATGTTAAATTAAGCCAATTAGACAAAAGAGACCACCTTTACACTTAGTTTATATCAACAATTTTAGAAAAGTCAGTTATTTGGTTTCCAAGAACAGAGGGAGAATGAAATTAGGGAATTTCTTCACTTTCCTAAATCTCCAGCTTTAATATACTGGCAGTATTGACTAAAGAAGCTTAGTTTTTGTTTACATCATTAATCATGTGTACTGCTTTGATCTCATAAAGCATGTGAATTTCCTTTCATGAGTTGAATATTCATTATAAACTTAAGTACCAAAAAGTTGGTTAATGATATTAAAGAGCCAATAACAATAGTTATATAATTCCAACATATGATACCTCCACAAATTCATGTTCATCCTCCAGATACCTCCGGATGAGCTTTACAACCTTATGCCGCAATCTCAGGTTAAACTGCATTTGTGCCCGACGTAGATCAAGGAACCGAAATCTAGTAAAAGTTCGCAATAGTATGTGTTAGAAGATACTCATACATGATCTATAAATTCAATAGCGATAGACTACATGTACTAAAATCCTTGGACTATAGTACAAGAAACTATACTTACAGACCTGCTCAAGAAAGCAGTACAAGTATCAACAAAGAGTAATGTCAATGTCCAGGGCACCAAATATAAAAAATTGATGTTTATAAAGACCTCATGCAGTAACCTGAACGATATTTTAACAAATGTCTCCATATATGCACTGAAGGATATTTTGGTAACTTGTGTGCACTAAAATGCATACAGGGAAACCAAAGTACCAAGTGAAACTAACAATCATGTGGCAAGATCTATCATGAACAGAAAGAACATCCTCAGGTGAAATAAGCATACATCCACTACTACTAAACCTATTGTGATCAACAAACCAAATAACATACCATAATATATGTTTAGCAGTAAAAGCATCATCAACTTGCCATCAAAGCCATAGGCTAGCACTGATGCATGTCTTATTTACATTAGCAAAGCAACTTCTGATAAATAAAAAAGAATCCCAAAAATTGATCTCACCTACTTTCTTGATGAACCCAAAAGCATAAAAAATAGCTTCGGTCTAATTTGAAGGTAATTCATCCCACGTCTAAAGGTGCCATGTCGAATCACGAATTTTTTTACAGAGCTAAAAACTAATCCTGATAATATGACCAGACAAGGAATTTGTACGAACTTCATGAGCTCCCAACTGTACTAGGCAGCACATGCCATTCTGCAGCTAGGTGGCATGTAAACCAGTCAATTCTAACCGAAGCTTGATTGTTGCAATTTAAAATACAACTGCTTTGGGCTAAAGATCTTTTTAAGATTTGAGGAGGTTCATGTGAGAACCAGCTTGGACCTCCAAAAAAATGATAACCCAAAACCCAACCAGTTAATTCAAGTCTTAGAGTGTTTCATAACTAGAAACTATGATGTGGCCATTAATGTCTTCCAATGTTAATTTTCTAGTATCGAGATTATGCCGCAAAGATAGACTCTGCTAAAACTTTCTTATTATATTCAATCCGTATACTGTAGTATGGCCTCCAGATAAGCATTTGTTATCTATCTTACAATCAAGTAGAGCAGCCAAAAACAAATAAAAAGATACTCTTCATGTGACCATATATGAGAAAATTTTGACAAGCGACATTTCCCTAAATAGAACTCTGACAGCAAAAGGCTATGAAGTCAACCCTAAATATTAGAACATTATAACTTGTTACTGTATTATCCATGATAAAGTTATATTATCCCACAATTGTCTGTCTCCTCATTGCACATCAAAGTGAGGGAGCAAGTAAAGACTGTAATTATGTTACCACAATCAGCTGAAAGTTGAGATTAATGTCTTGGCAATAACAAAGAAAATTATACATGATGATGCAGAAACAAGTACTTTAATGAAAATGATCTGACATGTTTTTATAAAATCGAATAGTAAATGAACTACCTTAAACGAATTTCTTCGGTGGTGACATCTTTTACACTGTCTGCTGTGGTAACTGGAAAAGGCAATGCACGATTTACAGAATTTAATACAATGACATGCTCCGCAACAACCTATTACGCCAAAGCAAAATAACTTTATGTTAGCACATTGCAACTTTTTTTAGTCCAATGGCAAATTCATGTTACTAAAATCATATTCCTCACCAGTGTAAAATTTACACTGTCATGTAGGACCAAGACAATCTTGCTAGTTGAAATTATTACTAACAGATAAAACATGGGAGCAAGATAGGTTTAATCAAAAAACAAAAAACTCACAAAGATACACATCTTGGATTCTAAGAATATTAGCACAAAAGAACAAAAACATCATTCTCACCATCACATTGATGGCCACATGGTCAACAGTGTTGCAACATCAAATGTAACAACATGCCAAGGTGTGAATTATTATCCAAACCACTATGTATTGTCAATCATATAAAATCCAATCAAGATTCTAATCACATGTATGAAACATTAAAAAGGGCATTATATTGTTCTTTCCATAATTAACCAATCATTGTAAGTCTATTCCATCCACTTTTTGCAAATGCACAACAAGTTAGATACCTCAAGTAAATTAGTTACAAAACACTGTTCCTAAGCTCTAAACCTAGTTCTATACATAGCAATCCAAAGTGTTCCAGTTTCATAAATGGAAAAGAAGGTCATTCCAATTTCCTCCATCATTCTAAAATTAATGAACCAAAGAAGTCTCCTTGACCGAACTTGTGAAACTAAAGCATTTGTTGCTAGATGCTAAGTTAAATGCATATGATCGTAGCACAAACAGGATAATTAAGCAGAATCTAATTTCCATGGTCATAATTTTCCATAGTATCAGGATATGGTAGAAATTATCATGAATCTATGAAGCTCTATTCCAGGTAAGAAAGATGACCAATTCCAGAAAGCAATTAATTATTGCAAATACCACGTGGAGGCTAAGTCTTCATGTTGACTTATTGCTAATTTAGCTACCTAGATACCAAACTTTGCTTACCACACAAAATATTGAACGGGAAGTATACTTTGTCTAAATTAATTCTGCAATCAGAATGTTTATATGTAAGCCATACTAACAGCATAACACTTGCCCTTTTAACTTTTGTTCTCATAGATCTACATGACATTGAACCCAACACTTATGTGATTCCTCTCAGGACATGGAAATCTTCGTGCTCCTAACTGGGCCCAAAACAAGTGCATACAATGGATATCAGCAGAAGCTGATCTGGATATGAAGTAACCGAGCTATGTAAATTGCTTTATACTATAGGTTAACAAAATAAAACGATAGCAGAAAATACATAAAAGTTCAATTTATAGGTGAATCCAGCAGAGTCCTTCTCGCCTCTATATCTCCAGTCTTCATCTTCTTGTTCACAGATTCCTGCGGTCGAGCCCGCACCAAACCTTCCACGGCAACCACATACTCAAGCCTCAACTTATTCGCAATCGAATACGCATCCGGATAATCTTCAGGAAGCGTCGCGACCTGTCCAAGAAGAACGTAAGCGTCCGCAAGAATAAGCAGCATCGACATCTTTATCACGACAAGGAAATAAATATACCTGAACGATTCCAGAGCTGTCCCTGAGGTTGAGAAAGGTGAGGCCGCCATGGGCCCGGTGGAGGGCGACCCAGCCGCAGAGCCGGACTCGTTTCCCCACGTCCTCGAGCCCTAGCTCGCCGCAAAGGGCCGTTCTCGGAACCCACTGAAGGGGGGACGCGGCCCGAGGCTCCGAGAGGGAATCGGGACCTAGGGTTTCGGCGGTCGCCGACGCCGCAGCCGGAGGAGGTTGAAGGGGGGACGAAGAAGTCGAGGGCGTGGAGGAGGAAGAGCATAGGAGAGGAGAAACGGAGATTGGCCTGGATGAGGTTCGGGGCTTGAAGCGGAAGCGAGCGAAGCGGGCGAGGTGAGGGGAGAGGAGGAAGGGCGAGACGCGTAGTATCGCGGCCGCCATGGATGGATGATGCGTTACAGAATCAGGTGCGACGCTTTCTGTTAAGCCAATCAATTACTTAAAAATCCTACTGTGGGCCGAGGCCTTTTATAATCACAACCAAGATTGAGTTGGGCTTCTACGGAGCCCAAAGTGAGCAGCCATATGCAGCTTCCATAATAATAATAATAATAATTATTATTATTATTATTATTATTAAAATTTATTTTATTTTATTTATTATTATTATTATCATCATCACCGGAGCATGTGTTATTATTGCTTCTTGTTGTTCTATAGAAGATCTATTAACACTGGTTACACAAAAATCAAATCAATAATTTCAAATAATGGTTAACTTTGGTTGGATGATTTATTAAAAAAAGATTTTGGTTTTTTATGTGGGAGCACCTTTTATTTTATAAATGTTATATTTATTTTTCATTATCCTATGATATGATTATCTTCTTGGTTATGTTCATGGATCAATAATTTGATCGATCCCTTTTTATCGTTGAATCCACCTATGGCATTTCATCTTTTTCTTAGTAACTTTGCTTTCTCCTTGTTTTAACCATGGATGATCTTTACTCTTTAACTCTTGGTTATTGATGATTCCTCCACCATCTCCATCTTTAATTTTATTTTTATTTTCTTATTTCATTCGATTGATCATAACTTGTCTTAGATATGACTCTCTTGTTGTTACTATTTTGCTCTACTATTATGCTTTATTGCTTATTATAATCATCACACTAATATCATTTGGGATGTACGATAATCTTTTATTTTTTAGAACTCTAATTGATTGTATTTGCTATAAGGAAGACAATATACCCTGACATGAATATTATATCATCAAAGTCTCCTATCCAATCAGTATCAACAAAGGTATGGAGATAAGTCGGGCATGTTTGCGAAGAAAAAGATCATGATTGAGAGTCCCTTTAAGATACCGCAAAATTCATTTAACCATAGACCAATGCATAGTAGTTGACCGATGCATGAATTATGATAATTTATTGATTACAAATGAGATGTTTGGACGAGTGAGAGCTAAGTACTGTAAAGAGCCAAATACTTTTCAGTATTTAGTAGAATTCGAAGAATGGCTTCTATCATATAACTTAAGTGATTCACTGGATAGGGGAGTTATAATCTCTTTTGCATCATTCGTATTTGTCTTTAATAATAAATCTTGAATATGCTTTCTTTACGATAGGAAGAGACCTGAATATGTAAACATTGTTTCCACGCCCAGAAAGTAGCTCAAGGTTCTTAGATCTTTGAGGGATAATCGATCGACTAATTACTTTAAGAATGCCTGAGTCTTCAAAGAATCATTGCCCATGATAATAATATCATCCACATACACAAGAAGATGTATTGTGTCTCTATTTTGTTGTCATAGGAAAAACAAGATATCATACTTAGAATTGATGAAGCCAGTTTATGTTAGAAATTAGCCAAGTTCAATATATCAGGCTCTTGGAGCTTGACAAAGTCCATAAATAACTTTTTATAGTTTGTAGACATGCCTCGAATACTGAGGATAAACAAAACCAAGAGGTTACTACATGAAGATATCTTCAATTAGAGACCCTTGTAAAAAGGCATTGTTAACTTTTAGTTATTGTAGGTGTCAGCCTTTTGAGATGGTCAAACTCAAGATAAGTCATTTTTTGTAGGTTCAACAATGTGATTGGATGTCTTTGTAAAGTCAACACCACATTATTGCTGAAACATTTTGGCTACTAGATGTGCTTTATATCTTGCAACGGATCCGTCTGGATTTCATTTAATTCGAAAGATGTATTTATACCCGATGATATTTTGTATGTGATAAAATGATACTAGGGTCCACGTAGAGTTATGGAGGAGAGCATCATATTCTTCATATATGATTTTACGCCAACGAGGAGATTTTTGAGCTTAAGTGATTATAGTGGGTTCACTAGCCTCGGGGGGGGGGGGTTTGTTATAACATGTAGGTCAAGAACTTGACGTGATTTAAAAATACCACTTTTGAAGCATATTATCATTGGATATCTAGGAGCTATGAAAGTGGTAGGTTGTGTTGTTGGTATAGTCGGTGGTAAGTCACTGGCATGGACTAGGCCAATATATGGCACTTTAATGTTACTGGATCTAGGAGAAGATAAAGTCAATGGTGGTGTTATTGAGGGTATTATTTCGTCGATAGGGAAAACTTGTGAGGGAGTGGAGTGAGAAGCTATTGAATTGGAGTAACAATTGTATGCGAGTCCTGAGGGAAAGGACTGGATGGTGTCATGGGAGGTTCATGTGATAGGATTTGAGGGATACTCTAGCGATGTATGTTTATCGAAGTAGCCTGTGGTAGTCATAGGTTCCTTGCAAGCCAATCACTCGAGTGATGACATGTGTGACTTGACATGTAGTTCTTTTACTTATTATTATTATTTGATATTTTATCACTTTATATTGCTTGTTACTTGAATATATTATGATATCCATGAATCTGTGCAATGGGAATCAGATCGTGATGAGATCACGATAATGAGACTGATTCGCCTTTAAACACAAATCATAAATAATCTCGATCATAGGTTACTCGAAAGGGACATTGAGATAACTGGATAAAGTGTGCTATATACCTGTCCATATGATGAATGCAGTTGGTATTATAGTTACTCATATGGGGACACCAAGGATATAGTACAGGTGCTCATTGGAAAATGAGTTCACTGATAGATCCACTTACGGAATGCTAGATGGTTGATGATACCTTATTGTCAGACAGCGATTCTGTAGTCCCAGTGATGTATATAGTCCTTAGACTTAAGACACCAAAGATGTCCTGTATAAGTACTTCATGTTTTGATACCAGACTTATAGGTCTAGAGGTTCCAAATCTAGCACAACCGGTCATCGGGAGTGATAGCCAACCTTATAAGGACTATCGAGTATCAATATAGGATTATCCACTCTCGGTGTCATGAGAGAAATATCTCATATATTATTGCTCAGACAAATCCCTGGTTAGGGTTATTCAGATTGAGAGATAAAGAGTTCTTCGGGAGAATCTGATTCGAGCGAGATTCAAGCAGAAACCGTATGGGTTTGACAACACCATATCCAGTATATGGTCTCTAGGATATTAGATGGATGAGAGACTATAGACACACATTAACTGAGGACAGAAAGTTATAACTGTGTAGTGGCCTAATACGTCCGCAATCGATGAGTCGAGTGAATTATTATAGAGATAATAATTCATTGAGTCAAAAGAAGTCCTGACAAGTATAACTCACGACCAGCTCGATATTGGGCCTAAAGGGTCACACACATATGGTAGGCGTTGCAATGAGTTCGGGTTCAGATATGAGATATCCACTAGAGCCCCTATCTTATTGGATATCCAAGAAGCCCCTGAATTATTGGATCATATGGATGAGATCCAATAATAGCCAATGAGAGATTATTGTATAGAGATCCACTAATCTAAGAGGCTTGGGTAGTTGGATGGAGATCCAAAACCCAATAGGGTTGGATCCATTAGGGTTATGTTGACATGAGGCCTTTATAAATAGAAGGAAACCAATGGTTCATAGGCTAGAGCCTTTTTGAGTTGTCTCTCCTATTCTCCTCTCTTTCTCCTCTTCATATAGTATGCTTGGAGATTATAAGAGGATTGTTATAGTCCTACTACGTGGATCATTGCTAAAGAGGAGGACGTTTGACCTCCTTCGCCCTCTCCTAGAGATCTGCATGGATTCAGAGATATATGATCTCCCTCAATCTTTAATATATTTAGTTTTTAAGTTTCATGGTTTTTACATACCAATCTTCGCACGACGATGAACATATCGATTGAAAATTTGATGATTTTATTTTTTATGTTCTTCCACTGCGCATGTGATGTCGCTCCCTAGATTTCCCAACAGCCTACACGGTAGGATAGTTTTGAAAAGGAAATATATACTCTATAAAAATAATGTGACGTAATATAAAGATTTTTTGAGTTTATGATTCATAGCATCGGAAAGCATTATAGTCAAAAGAGTATTCTATTAAAGTGCAAGTCTTAGATCATGGTGTTAGCTTATGTGAAGGATAAGGACATAGCTATGAATAACATAAACAACCAAACACTTTAAGTTTCTAAAGGTTTGGAAGCTTATGGAATGGTTTTTCAAATGATGACTGGAGTGAGTATACGATTAATAAGATAGACTGCAGTTTGAAAAGCTACTGATGAAAAAGTTAGCAACATGGATGCTTGATGTAGAAATGAGAGACCAGTTTCAACTATATGCCGATGTTTACGTTCAGTAGATCCAACTAATTTAGGAGTATATGAGGGTTACTTGAGGTGTTATATACTATAAGGTAAGAGACATGATGTGATAACATGATATTCGCCTCAACCATTAGAGTAAATTGGTCTAATTGAAGACTAAAAGTAATTCTCGACCAACTTTCTAAAATTGGTAAAGATCATTGAAATGTCAAATTTATGGTGGAGAGGATATAACCATGTATATTTTAGTGAAATAGTCTATAAAAATAATATAAAATTTGAACTTATCAAAGAAAGGGTTGGGGTAGGGCCCCAAACATTTGTATAAATAATTTCAAATGATTTAGAGCAAGATATGAATGATATTTCAAAAGATAGTTTATGACTTTTATTAATAAGACAAGTATCATAATGAGTGATAATAATATTGATTTTAAAGGTAGGAAGAGAATAACAAAAAGGTAATTTTTATTGGATAAAAGATAAGGGATAACCAAGATGATGATGCCACACATCAACTAGAGAGCAACTGAAGAGTGAATAATAGGTTGGGAAATTTATAAAACTGATGGCTACTCATAAATGTTGCCTTTATTTTGGCGTTGGACTAAGGATGTCACTTTGCTCAAATCCTTGACAAAAAAACAATCACGATAAAATATAATTGAGATATTATTTTATTTATAAAATTAAAAAATAAAAATAAGGTTTTGTTTAATATGAGGTGCACACAAAATATCATCGAGTGTAAAAGTTATAGTAAATGAATTAAGCGTTATAGAACTAATATGAGTAATGAGAATTCATTTACCATCACCGATGATGATATCATCATTTCTGCTATAGTTGTTGTAGAAAGTTTTGAAGATTAAAGGTGATGTGATAAGAGGCGCCAAAGTCTACAATCTAATTATGTTGTCTAATAGTTGGAGTAGTCATAAGATTTGCTTGAGGCCATCGTTATGGAGCAGGGAGTATGGATCGAGACCGATTGATTTTCGTAGAGTGTTTGACTTTATCACATAGTTGACAAACAACTCTTTATTGACTTGTAAGGTTAGGATGTTAGGGTTGATGATTATGGAAGTTGCTACATTGATAGTGATGATTAAAGTGTTGATGGTGTGGATGAGGGGGGGTTTGGTTTGAGATTCATAGGGTTAGGAGGCAGCTTAGCCAAACCTTTGTTGATATGTTTATTATACTGGTTACTCTTCCTCTTGTATTTTTGACTGACTTGAGCTGTGATAGTTGGTACTAGCAACTTGTCATCATGCTTCAAATATGTCTCATAGTCAGTCTTATTATAGAGTTCTTTGAATGATATTTGTGGGTCACGTGCTCGAATTGCTGTCGCGAGTTCTTTGTACTCGTATTCTAAGACTTTAAGGGTATGGATTAGGACTTTTTCATCACTAAGGGAATGACCTATCAAAGCCAAATCATCAATTATAACGTTGATATTTTGTAAATAATCAGCATTAGTACTTTCCTCTTATTTCATTTTCGTTATATTGTATAAAAGTCCGAGCATGCGAGTACGCAAGTGATTTGCAACTTATACTATGCTTTTACAACAGTCATATATGAAGATATCAATAGGGCAATGGACCTAACGACTAAGGCTTGAATAGCTTGGAGGATAAGGCGATCTTGACGTAAGCATAGTTTATGGGCTAGATTTGATATTAAATTGGGTTCTCCTTAGATATTGACCATTGCATGTGGACAATGGAGAGAACCATCGATGTAGCCTAGTAGATCATATCCAAATAGAAGATTAGAAAATTATGCATGCTAAGATGCATAGTTGCTATATTTGGATAATTTAAAGAAAATGAGTGCTACAACATTGATGGTGATAAGGCCTATTGGTTGAGAAGTGCTATGGTTCCCTGTATGAACAATAACTTGAGTGTTAGAGGTGAACGATGAAGATATTTTGAGGATATTAGTCTAAGGGAGCAAGTTGGGAGTCATAAGCTATAAAAAGGAGGCGGAAGAGAGCTACGATTGGGAGCAATGCTTCTTCCAGAGGCATAGTTGCTGTATGAAGCAAGGCAAAGTTGCTATAGTTCTAAAGATCTTTTGACAGAAGATCTGAGTGGTGAAGAAGTCGTCATCACATCAGATTCATCGAGAAGTTGGTTGTTGAAAGCTCTCTTACCGTGACTATGGGAGTTTTTAGATTGTAAGATAGGAGGATGGAGACAATGTTATCATAGAAGAAGGCAGCAATGGGAAGAAAGGTGGAAAAGGGTGCTCGGGGCAAGCATAGTGCCCTACGGTAAGGGGATTACTTTTTTGTTAGAGATGAGAGACTTGAGGAAGGAACTCCCCAGTGCTTTATCAAAGGCTATAGCAAACTGATCAGGGCTGCAACAACAATGATGGGGGCACTATTGGAGATGTAGGTGGCTTCTACTGCAAGCGGTGTTTGTGGTAGTTATTAGTAATAGGCGGTAACGGTGGCATAAAATACGTCGTGGATTGCTGTTGCCATGGGTAATCAGACGATGTAGATGCGATGGCATCAATCGGCTATGAAAATTGCCAGATGTAGGCTACGATGATGGGGAAGAGGAAGGTGCAGTAGACAACACTAGGTAGCATGCACTGAATCTGGGTGCTATAGAATGAGCGCCAATTTTTGAAGCAGTGACACCTCAATGTGCTTTGGTGTGGGTCAAAGGTATGGCCTAGAGGAGCAGTTCTGGGTATAATCGATGATGGATGAGAGGAAGCACAAGAGGATGCTCTCCAACAGGGAGTCAACATAGAGGTCACGAAGGAAGAAGTAGTAGTGCTTAGATTTGACAACCCAAGCAATTCTATTACTGAACGAGAGGAACCAAATGTTGATCCAGCTCCGTAATGTAGTTTGTGTGTGATAATGTATTAAGGTTGATGTCTAGCCTTTGGTTGTATCTTTTTTATCCTGGAGTAGTTGGTTTTCGATTGCAATCGCTGGAGGAAGAGAAGCAACAATCGATCGCAACTGAGGGGTGGTGGTCAGTCGCTTATTGCAGATCAAGTGAAATGTAATGATAAAAAAACATATTTAAATTAATTGAATCAATGTCTATTTATACATGTTAGAAGAGAATATTTTCCTCGACATATCAACAAGATTTCTTCGGAAATCTTATCTATTATCAGATTCCTCTACCATCTTCATCTTTGATTTTATTTTTATTTTCTCATTCTATTCAATTGATCATAACTTATCTTATATTGATGTGACCCGTTTGTTACTACTTATTTGTCTACTATTATGCTCTACCGTTCATTCCAATAATCACACTAATAAATGATAATTTTGAAAATTATTTTAAAATTATTCTAATTTTAAATATTATTTAATTCATAATTTTTTTTCAAAGCCTAAGTAGGGAAGAACATGTTTAAGATTATGACATTGTGTTAATATGTTAAATATGATGATCTATCAAAATATTTATCAATTAAACTAGTCAACATATTAAAAAATAATAATATTAAATTACTATTTAGATTATTATAGTTTTATATAAATTGGAAAATATTTATATTCATATACTCATAAGTGAATGTTATTATCTTCATTTTTAAAACCATATTGAAAACATTTCAAATTTGAATATAAATATTTCTAAATTTAGTGAAAAAATAAAAAAATATTGAGTTGCTATCTGAATGTTGTTTGAAAAATGGTAGCTTTATTAGAAAAATAAAAACCTATTACAGATAAAATTATATTGTACATGTAGTGATACTCGTATTTAGAACCAGAATAAAAACATTAAGATGGTTAATATTTGCATCATTACACTTGTTTCACAATCAAGCTCAAAATATTCAATATTTGAATATAAATTTTCTTAAATTTATAAGAATGGAACAACAAGCACATTGGTTGAGAAAGGCATAGAGGGTAGTCAAATAATAAGCTTGTTGAATAGCAAAAAATATATGTATAAAAAATCTTAGATAATTAAAAAAAAAATGATTCACAAGTAAAAACCAAAAACACGATGGGAAAATCACCCATTTTAGTTAGATTGAGTAAATTTTTTAAAAAATAATATAATTATTATTTCTAACATAATAATTTAATTTTAAGAGGGTACTTAATTTACTGTGATTAATGAAGATTATATATATATATATATAATGTGATTCTGTATATATATTAAATATCTCAATCTATTATTTATCTTACTCATGTTAATGATAAGCTCAGATAAACTACTTGATGGACATGTATATATACACTGATAATCTGTATTTTTGTGGTTGTAGATCAATGTATAATATGATTTTTTTTTTTGTGTAGCTTCTGTAATTAATTAAAAATGATTGAATGAAAAATTATTATTGATTCAGAATGATTGATTTGGATGCTTAAGAAATAATATAATATTTCATGGAGTCTTTTGAACTCTATCTCAAATATTTACTATCCATTAATTTGATTTGATAATTATAAATTAGAGCATGTATATAGAAAAGATAATCAGGAGATTATTTTTTAGTCGTTTTGCTTAGTCTTTAATTGATTTTTTAGTTAAAAAATATTTAATTTTTTTTAATTATGAAGAGGGTGTTAATGTTAGTTCGAGAACAATTAACTATACTGATATATGTGCAAGTTTTTCAACTTCAAAATATTATATTTTAAAAATTAAAATTAAATTTAAAGGAGTAAATATCAAAATATAACTAATTTTAAAATAATATTTATGCCATTTTGACTATAAACAAGTTAGGAACATATGTTGATAGTAATATTAATATTGGCTCAATTTTTCTTATAGTTTCTTGAACCCCTAAATTTATCCAAGCTTATGTTTACAATTAATTTCAAGATGTAAGGGATTAGTCAACTCGGACTTCAATTAGTTGACTCAATATGTTCAATTAACATTAACGGGCACGTGCTCCTGTTTGAATCCCGCACGTGACTTCTCATTTCCCTCCTCCGCAAACACAAGTCCACGGGAGGGATCCGAGCGAAAAAAGTTCACCAATAAAAAGTCGCCACGTTTCACAAAAAACAAATCGTCCAACTCACCGATCCGTGACAAACATGCAGCAGCCAATCAAAATCCAGCATCTTCCTCTATAAAAGCCAAACCACGCGGTCTTACTCGGCACTCGATTTCACTGCTTCGAGAGAACTCGCGCCTTTTCTCTGCTTTCCATTTCCCCGGTCGAGATTCCGATGGCGCCCAAGGCCGAGAAGAAACCAGCGGAGAAGAAGCCCGCCGAGAAGCCGGCGGAGGAGAAGGAGAAGAAGGCGGAGAAGGCCCCCGCGGAGAAGAAGCCCAAGGCTGAGAAGCGCCTCCCCTCCAAGGACGGCGCCTCCGCCGACAAGAAGAGGAAGAAGAAGGCCAAGAAGGGGACTGAGACCTACAAGATCTACATCTTCAAGGTGCTCAAGCAGGTGCATCCCGACATCGGTATCTCCAGCAAGGCCATGTCCATCATGAACTCCTTCATCAACGACATCTTCGAGAAGCTCGCCCAGGAGGCCTCCCGCCTCGCCCGCTACAACAAGAAGCCAACTATCACGTCCCGCGAGATCCAGACCTCCGTCCGCTTGGTCCTCCCGGGTGAGCTCGCCAAGCACGCCGTGTCCGAGGGGACCAAGGCGGTCACCAAGTTCACCAGCTCTTGATCGATCCACGATGGTCGTTCTGGGTTTCATCTCTTAAGCTATCTTTCCCTAGGTTTTGGCATGTGTGACTTGGTTTACATTGTAATATAAGTAGCATGTCTGTTGTAACATGTTGGCTTCTGATTTGGAAGGAAAGGAGTAACTTTTTCTAGTTCTTGTTTATCCTTTTGCCTCTTCTTTTCCCCAATTTGATTCTGAATCTTTGTTAATCTGATGGTTGTCAGTAATTTTGGCCTCTGCGTGCTCTGAGATGTTGCCATTAGAGAGTCTTTTATGGAAGCAACTGAGATCATTTCTTAAAGTACTTGTTTCGGTTCCAAACTGATGACCCTGAGGTGTTCTTGGATGTTGCGTTTGCTTTGATTTGTGTTCTTTGTTGTGTGTTGTTGCCTTCTGCTTCGTGTACTTCTTTCATATGATTGATTTACAGAAATTATTCTTGTTTGCTAGTTTATCGGGCGAGGAGGTCATATATATCACTTCTGCTCATTGGGCCAACTTGCTAACTCAGGTAGTCATACCTGCTCTCCTGCCTGCGAAATTTATCTTTGCTTGCTACCATCGATGCAGGAACATAGCAAAGTCACTGTATCTTTTCTCAGTGCCTTCTCTTCCGTATGGAGATTTGGTGGGGTGCCTCGAACGAAGATCACTTTGCAAAAGGATTGGCGCCCGAATGAAGCATTGTGGAATTCAGCAAACCAAGCGGATTCTCTCTTAAAAGGAGCACCTCCTTTGAAGAAGAACTCAAAAATCTTTCTTTTTCAGCTGCTTCCCTTCACCAAAACTGGAACGAAAAGCCTCGTGAGTGTTTTCATCTCTTTCAACCAAAGGTTGCTTTTTCTCTTCTTCTCTATGCTCTTTGTTGATTGTTAAGAATCATTAATTTACTTATTCTACTATGGGGAATGCATGTTGAAACTTAACCCATTTCTTCCTTAAATTGTTGCATTTATTTTGGGAAATGGTGACAACGGCTAGCGATATATTAAAAATGTGAGAGATAGATGTGTTGCCCAACAGCTCAATTGCTTAGGAAAAATGTTATACCCAAATGTTGCATTGTTTACATACGTGGTGAGATTTGAATCATTCAAAAGCATGGATCAACAAATTTAATTCGAGGGGTTTAGAAACATTTGACATATGAAACCTACCTTTTATGTAAAAATAGGATAATGAGCTTTGACCTAATGAGTAATTTTGATAAGATCTTATGATTTTATCATATAAGAAAGAAAGAAAAGAGATGATCACTTCGAGGGGATCAGTCTTTTACTGTTTGCTAAAAGCTAGAATAATATTTCATAGATAGATGAAAAGATACATCTATATTTAAATCCATCATACTCTTAATAAATAAATAGATATAAAAAAGTCTTTATCTGACTCTTATTGAACTAGACAAACTCAGAGAACTAACTCATCACAACAATAGTATATTTGGTTGGAAGTATAACAATCTTGTAGATCTCTTAGCCTTTTGCTTGCTCTGGTCTTACTTGGTTGATGCCGCTAGCTTTTCACTGAAGTCCCACAGCTTTTCTGCCAATGTTTCATCTCTGGCCAAGTAACTTGGTTTCTCCTCATTGCAGTCCAAGAAGTACTTCCCGGTCACACCCTTGAGACTTGGATGCAGTGCGACATAGCATGTAGTTGCTGCACCCTGCGCTTATTTAAAGGTACACAATGTTGATGTTCACCCCTTGCTGAGTTCTAGTTCCTATGAAGATTTTTCTCTGCACTCCCCATGTTCTACTTGGCATGCAAAGCATGTTACCATACATTTCAATTACATGGGTTTTAATTTCGGTGTCTCAGTGAAATATCATGTATGTTTTTGCTTCTGTTTCATATGCAGATAGTATGGACGGGTCTAACTCATGTTCAGTGATCATTTGTTTTGCCCCATCTCTTCAGAAAATTGCACTAGGAAAGTATTGATTTTTGTAATTTTCTGCTCTTGCTGATACGATGTGACGAATAAGAAATGGTACTTCTTTTACTGCTATAGGTTCTAAATAATGAATAGTAAATTATAGTGAAACACTGAACAAGCTTAAATTATAGCAGGCAATGATCCAACTAAATTAGTCTAATAGTCCATGAAAACCACCAAAATATTCAGCTGATGCTACCCTTATACATAAGGGAACTTAATGTCATCGAGCAAGCGTCGTAACACACCTGGGGAACATTCTTCCAGAAGATGTAAGTGAATAATTTTAGCACCCCTGCAAACAAGCAACAATGTCCGGGTCTGAGTCCAAAACTTTCAATTTCAGAATAGGTTACTGTTCTTAAAACCACTACTGATTTGGAAGTTTAGGAACAAACTCATTAGATGGAATGAGTGTCTCATCAGGTTCGTCATGATCAGTCCAGGATGAACAGAATTTACTGTGATGTTTGCACCATCTTCCTGTGAACCATAATGTGCAGAAAATTAAGGAGTCAGCAAGACATGTCATGCTCCATATCAGTAATCCACACTAAAAAGACAATACAGAAGAAAACAAGTACAAAGTAGAAGCAACCTATGGGCCAGTAAAATGAAATTGACATAGGAAATGACAGTTGTGTAATGTGTTTGGATTGACACTTATAATGGACAGCTGGTAGAGATTTCATGATGGCAATTCTTGCTGCATAATTGTTTTTGTATAGGTAATGCATGTAATGCATCTTGATCTAAGATATGCATTGCAAAATTGAGTACCTTTAAGCGTCTAGAGAGCTCGTTCGCATGCAATATGTTGGCCAGTTTGGACTGCCCATATGCCTTTTTATCTAAGTATCTGAGGAACAAAGATCAGTTGGTGAGGTTGAAGAAATCACCATTTTTTTTTGTAGTGAAGAATACTGCCAGTGCAGCAGAGTTTTCTCAAAGTATTTGCTTGCCAAACAGCCAATGGTAACTTACACTTCCTTGTGATTAAGCTTGTCAAACCATATTCCTCCTTCATATGTATTCAAGTGAGCAATAGATGACAGATTCACAATTCTACCCTCAATCCCTGTCTTCTCGGCTGTGGTTTTCATCTTGTCAAGAAGAAGATTTGTCAAGAAAAAGTGTCCTGAAAGTAGAACAAAGCTAAGCTTTTAGTGCATACCAGTAGAAGAAATTGGAATTGATTGGACTAGCAACTTCACTAGGAGATCACAAACATATCGTTTTACCTAGATGATTTGTTGCAAACTGCATCTCTATTCCATCCTCTGAGAGTTGGTAAGGACAGAACATGACACCAGCGTTGTTTCTGAGAAGAAATCCAAGGCACAAAACTCACTCGAAGACATGATAGCATGTAAGTATCATTACGAGAAGCAACATGATTACATTAAGATGTTGAGAGGTAGGTCCAACGAGAGGAATTTGTCTGCAAAGGCTCTCACAGATTTGAGTGAGCTGAGATCAAGCTTTAAGACATCAACTTTGGCCATTGGAGTACACTGCAGGATGTGCTGCTGCACATCATTGGCAGCTGCCATGTTCCTTGCAGCAATGATGACATGGGCTCCTCTGAGGGCAAAGACTCTTGCAGTCTCTTCACCAATCCCACTTGCACCCCCTGGATTGCATGTAGACTCAAAAGTCAATGTGAATTTTTTGATGTCATTGCTAATAACTGATCAATTATTGGATCAAATTGGGGGAGAAGCCATAAAAATGACCCTGAAATATTTGTTTAGGCAGATCTTTATTTAAAAGATTACTTAGACCACCATCAAAATTTGACCCGGTGAAGTCCAGTTGAAGATTTGACCGATCCTAGTTTTTTAAGGTCATCGCCATTAATGGAACTGCTGAGCTCAAAGCAGAGCAGAGTCGGATGAAGAAGATGGGAGGGAGGGACGCACCGGTGATGATGACGGTGAGATGGGAGGCGTCGATGCCGTCGGTGACCTGCTCGGCGGTGGAGGCGGATCCGAAGCCGCTTGGCCCCGGCAGCCCGGTGACGAGCCTGAAGAGTCCCATGCTGCTGCAGGAAGTAACGGCGGTAGGAGGTGAGAGGAGGAAGAGGCAGGAGAGAGTGAGATCGAACGCTCATAGGGGTGATGTTATTTATCGTGGGGAAGCGTGGTGGAGAAAGCGGGTCAACCGAAGAGAGTTAATGCGCAACGGTGGGAGATGCGGTGGGGAACGGGGAGAGTGAATGCCTTGTGGGGCCTGCGGTGGGTTGGGCATTGCGTTCGCGGGATACCCACCTCAGCTACCTCTTTCGTGATTGGAGGATGCGATCGTCCTTTTCGTTCACGGGTGAGATTCTCTTCGGAAGTCGATTTTAGTATTTACCCCCTCTAAATTTTGGTATTGTACAAATAGCCCCCTGCCGAACATGCAGACTTTCCATCAATCCTTCTAAAAATTATATTTGCTTGATGTGAATACTAATTATATATTATGCGTATACTAACCGTAATTAGTCGGCATTGATCATTAGTTAATGATAGTTATTCTAAGTTTGTCAGGGAGGATCTTGAAGATTTGTAATGGTAAATATATAATATCGAAACTCTTCAAGGATGGATGTGTAAAAACTCCTTGTATATATATATATATATATATATATATATACCTGTACCCCGCCGGCCACCCGCTCTGTGATGGGGCGACAGCGATGGCGGGTGGGTCCCATGTGGGACCTCGCCCAATACGGAACGCTTGGGTCGCCGTCGGAGTAACTTTCATTTTTGTTTTTGTTATTTTATTTTATTTTTACTAATGGTAATTTGATAAGGACGAGATTTTATGTCAATATCTGAGCATTAAATATTAGTCATAATTTAAAATAATCAAACTGAGCATTCTAAATCGACATTAACCATTAATTAGAACACATATATGTATATAATATAAATAGTAAAGAAGTAATGTCATGACTTGTTGTTTACGAATTGGGTTTTGGAATCTAATGATTGCTTTTACACTGTAATAATACATATTAACAAATTAAATGACTGTCACGTTAGATGGAATTACATTTATATTATGAGAATATATAATGTTATTTTACCATTCTTTTAATTAATGGGATATTTTTATCTCGATTTCTCTTTGATGAACTATGATATCATTTTCTCACGTTAATAGGATGAAAGATATCTGACATGTGGTGCAATTAGGTGAGGATTTCTTTTGGGTCGGCCATGATAATGCCAATTGAAACCAACATGGGCCATACCCTAAACCTAAAATTATTTCTCCCCATCCATATTAATAAATGCCATATCATAATTTGTACTATGAGGTGAAGGCCATAATCTCATAAATAAAGCAGGAATGGTGGATGCCCTCCTTGTAAACCATACCACACAATGCAACACCAACGATAGGGATTGTCATTGTCCCTACGGTTGGAAATGATTTGGTGATTGGACAGTAGCAAGTTGACTATGTCTTCTTAGGTGTTCACCATTTAATAGAAAGCTACCATGACCATTTATTTTCCAAGTTGACAATGGGCAGTCCTTTTCATTATTCACAATATGATTTTTTTTTTTCTTCAAAAAACGCTAATGCCAAACATAAATACACCAAAGTTCAAAAGAAATGAGAAGGGGAAAAAAAATTCGATTCTCTTGTAATTTTCTTTTATTTTTATCTTTTGCTTCATTACTATAGTGTGATATCATTATTTCAATCTATTAATCACTTTCTTTATTTTCTTGACCTTCTACTATATAAATAAGATAAGGTATTTGTGGTAATATTAATGCATTCGTTACTGAATTATAAATTTTATTGATTGATAGAATGGGGATTCAATTTTTTTTTTCTTTCACATAGATGAAATTAATGCATTCATCACTAAATTATAATACTCAGATCGAGATGACTAAGGACCCGATGATCAAAGATAGAACCCATCTATAGGATTCCAAAGGAATATTTCGTATATATCTCAAAGTTTTTTCGTATATATCCCATTAAACCAATTATAAAAGCCCATCAAATCACACAAATCTATGTTACTTATTCGTCTTACTTGAAATTCTCATTTTTGATAACTTAGTGTTGGAAGAACTATGTTGGAACTAATGTAGATGTCATCGATATCCCAAACATGAAGCATGCTATTCCGTCATTGATAATTGATTATGATAGTCAATTTTATCATCGAAGTTTTTGTGACAGAATACGAGTCACTAAGTGTGGTTTTACAATCTTCTTCTCGCTCACCAATCTGCAAAGGACTCAAATCGTGGGATTCTCTTCTGGCAGCATCTTGTCATTTGATGGTCCATAGAAAATGTGACATGATAGAGAAGATGGATCTTAGTGATCATATTTAATGGAGTCTATAAGAGATGGTGTCAAAACAAGTTTGGATCAGCCAATGTGCAGTGATATTATTGTTGAGGCATGGTTTCCTTGCAGGAATCGGACATCCCATCATCTCCAATCCCATTCACAGTTAGAGTAGATGAGAGAGAGACTTTAATGCCATCTACATTGTAGGTTTAGCCATTAAAGCCACGGTTGCACCAAAAAACACTCCTCCTGCAAGTGACACGCCATTACACAGTGTTAGCTGTGGGGGCTTCTGCTGCTGCAGTAGAACTACGACAGGCGCACGAGCGAAGCAATCGGGAATTGCCAGTTCCACTTCCACTGCAAGAACTCAGTGGACCAGAGGAGGTGCACCTCCGAAGCTTGGAAGGTGACGGTGATGGAGGGGGATGGGTTGCAAGGAAAGATATGTTGCGTAGCCTTTGCATGTGCTTCATGCACAGTGTGCTGATGCAACATTAGGGTGCACCTAAGTGGTGATGACAGACACCAAAATATAGGTAGCAATCAACATTTTAATGTCTTAATGCTTCATGTTGGAACATGTGGATTGAGTGCATGTTACAAGGCTTCCTGCTAAACTTAATATGCTCTCCTTCTTCTTCTTCCTCAAGGAAATGATGTGTTTTACCGGTGCAATATGGCTAAGATTTGCCTTACGGTGATGTCACCATGATTTAATGGAACCTTAATTGAATGTCTGAGACTTGACTTGGCATGTAAGCTGTTGATACCTGCTGTGACGATTGTCCAAGATGGATGCTTCGAGGTCATAACTCTCTGCCATGTTCACCACAGACACACACACACATCTCACTTTGGCACAAGCTCACCAACAATGGTGACCATGGCTGAATGAGCAGAAGCTTCTCAGCAGCTGGACCACTGAAGTGAGAAGAAGGCAGACGGCAGATATAATTGCAGTCCAAGTAGGGGTTGGATTGGAGTGATTGCAAGCCCATACCTGATAATGAAATCTAGTTTCAGATAGGTCAGACTCTTTTAAGTGGATGCTTAGTTGGGATAGAACATGACAGGTGAAGTAAAAAAAGAGTCACGTATTATTTCTGGGATGATTTGGTCTATCACAGACCTGTTTTAATCTGTGAGTTGATCTCCCAAAACTATGACATCTCCAAATGCACATAAATTAAAGCATGATATGTGAACCCTATGTTTACCAGAGAAAAGCCTACAATTATCTACCACTTCTTTTTCGAATAAAAGCACTCATTTGAGATGTGATAATTTTCATGGCAAAGAGAACAGACAAGAAATACAAATTATCTGTATATTCTTTTTTCCTTCACTGTTGCTGAGTTTTGGATGTCTGATTTCTGTGAGTTTTATGAGGTTTAATTGCATAGTGAGAACAAGAAAAAACACATGAAGACACAATTAATCTGTGATTTATGTTAGTGTAGGATAGACTCTGGATTTTTGGCTTGGATACATGTGATGTAAAACTAGTAAATCTGTGACTTCTGTAGCTTCATGAGACATTAAAGATGGAAGTTGAAAGACAGTATACGATACAGCAGCAGTCGTAGAAGCCAACAAGAATTCCAGCTTCATTCATTGAACAAAATAAATGGCACAAAGAGTCGTTGTGATTACTTAGATTACTCTGCATGTTAGATTATTAAGAATCCACTTGCACTTTAAGTTTGGATACAAAGAGTATCTAACGAGGTCCCTTCTCAAATTTGACGGGCTATTTGATATTTATTGGAAGTAATATGCAAAGAAAATTGAGCTATGTCAGTCAATTTATTACAATCCGTGGATGCTAAAGAACTGTTGTTACTTTTCGAAACGAACTGAATTAGAAAAAAAAATGCTTATTATATACATATATATATAATTAATCTCAAGTTATAATGTTGTGTTTTTCTCTAATATCCTTCTTTATCTTTCTTTCCAAAATAAAAAAAATAAAAGACATCTTCAAATTTTTTTTCTCCATTCAATAACCTCAAATATTTTCTCCATTTGGTAGATTCAATATTCAAGGATCTAACCTGCTCTCAAAAACGGGTAATCTTAAACTCTTAAAGTAATCCAAAATGTTATTTTCATCCCATCGATTTCTATGGTACTCCTCTTGACGCTCAAAGTAGTCTTTAATAACATTAAGACTTTGTGTACATCATCTGAGGCATTGGTAGGTGCTGTAGTACGAGATGCATTCTGCATAAAAAAAACAGGCAGTTCCAAACTCTCAAGGGATCTAAAGTGTTATTTCCGTCTCGTCGAGCTTTATCCCGATGCTTAAAATAGTATCTAATAGCATTAAAGATTCCATGTACATCATTTAAGGCATTGGCTGGAGCATTCTGTGATGTTGGAGAAGTTGTCACGTAATAAGTGATATGTGTATGTAAAGATTGAGTCTATATCAAAACACGTGAAACTTTCAAGTTAGGATATACTTGAACACCTCCTCAACCGTGTAGACCAATAGCATTATTATGACTACTCTACAAGCCAATCACATGATGACACGTGTGACTTGACACATAATCTTTTTATTTATTATTATTATTTGACATTTTATCATTTTATATTACCTGTTGCACAAATATATTATGATATTTATGAATCTGTGCAATGAGAATCAGATCATGATAAGATCACGATAATGAGACCGATTCGTCTTGAAACACATATCTTAAATAATCCCGATCATAGATTTCTCGAGAGGGACATTGAGATAACCAGACAGACTGGTGTAC